TTCATAATTTCTTATTTCTGCATCTTTCCAGCTGATAAAATCAGTCAGTGGAAAATAGGCTTAGAAAATTAAGCAAGGAATCAGATGCACTTAATCAAAAGGCATTTGATGTAACCAAAGGGCATTTGTATGTTAGAACACACTGTCAGTTGTTCAGTATGTTTTTATGTTTCCCTTTGGTGTCTGTGTGCTTCTTAGGTGGTCCAGATGGATGAGGTGTGCGTGAAGGTGGGATGTTTTTGGTGGGATCCCTTGTTGAAATGGGTGTTGGTCACTGTATAGGGTTAGGGTCTGAGTTAAGGTTCAACTTAGGGTTGGGATTTGGAGAGAGAGAGAAACCACACATCCCCATGTGAGTGGTGCTGGGAAGGGTCTGCCAAAGACGTTTGATGTGTACCAGAAGTTTTGACTTGAGGTTCCCTCTGTAGGATCCCCAGCTAGAGTAGATGTTGGAGCTTTGAGTGGGTGGTTGTTTGAGTTGGTCTCTATCCAGGTTTACTGTTTGGATAAGTTTTAATGTTTGGATTCTGGCTAGAGTTTGAAAACCAAGTGCATTTCTCCCATACATTGGATCTGGTCACTGTCTGGGTACAGGGTTAGGGTTTCTAAAGAGAAAGTGCACATCTGTTGTGTGAGTGGGGCTGTCAAAGAAGGTTGAGCTGTACCAGCAGCTCAGATATGTGGGTCTTTTTTGGTGGGATTCCTACTTTGGGTGGATGTTGGAGCTAGCCAACTAGTTTTATGGCTCAGTTTAGATTTTGACTGGTGTGTGGGGACTGCTAGGTCAAGGCCTAAACCAGTGGCTGAGTAGCAAGTGAGAAGGTGTGGCTAACCCAGGGCACACAGGTGCAAGCAGTGCACCTGTATGACTGGAAGTGGGTAGACCCAAGGTCTGTCCTTCCTCACTCTCATTTGAGGGAGCAGGTTCTCTATTTGGTGGTTGCTCCTTCTGGAGACTTTACTGGGTCTTTGGAAAGGATAAGCCACTTAGGTCACTTCTTAGGTCATCTTCTGAACTATATCTTCACAAAAACCAAGTATGTTTCTGTTCTGATAGAAAGCAATATTGTTGCCTTCCCTTACTCTACAGTTTAGGAGAGAGAGAAAGCCCAGAGTGCCTTGTGTGTCAGTGAGGTTGGGAAGGATCTGCCAAAGAAAAACAGGGTGTACCAGATGCTACTTTGAATCGTGGTTTCCCTAGTTAGTAGTTTGCACCTCTGGGTGTTGGAGCTACTCACTACCTAGGGTTAACATTTGGGTTTGGGGAGAGGAGCAGAACAGAGCCCTTGTGTGAGTGGGATTGGGAAGAGCCTGTGAAGGAAACTGAATTGTGATCCATTTTCGGTGGGATTCCTAGTTAGGTTGTGTATCAGAGCTGGTTACTGTCCAGGGTGTGAATTAGGGTTTTGAGAGGGAGGGGTGGTGCAAATCTACCTTCAGAGTTTATAGTGTTTTGTTTTGTTTTGATGTGAGAAATAGAGTTTTAGTTCACATCCCCACCTAGCTATGGTAAAGTCTTCATATGCATAGATAGCCTTTGCCATCCTGAGGTTTTTGCAGACAGTTTCTCTTACAGGGAAGTAAAGCAACTGATTAGAACCTTTGCATATGTTTTATCTAAAAACTGGTATGTATAACATATGTGCCTGAGATAATCTTCTGGGTACTCAAGTAATGGTGTTGGCATTTCTTCTGCTTATTTGTAAGTCCTTCTGTGTTTGTTTTTTTTTTTTTTTAATTTCCCAGATAATTGTAGTTTTTATGTATTGCTCTCTTTTAAAGTATATTGTTTTTGCATTTGGTGCTGACTATGCAAAAATCTCACATCTTTTAGTTTTTCAGAAGTGCTTCTGAATATTGGGTCCCTACAGCCACGCCAAGATGTTTTCTGCCACATGTACAGGTCTGGAAAGGCTTTTTGGCTTTGCATTTGGGGTGGAGCATATAATGAACAGGACAGGCTCTTTTTCTGCTGGTAGGATAGACTGAGTGGGGGAAACACTCTGGGCAAACGCTCAGAGACCTTATTGGTTCCTTCCATTTGATGCGTGGGGACTTAAATTCACTACGGGGACTGGTAGAGTGGTCTGGGAAGAGAAGAGAGCTTTCATCTTGCTCAGATAGGCTCTGCAAGTGGCAGATATATCAGAAGGGCATCTGAAAGTACTTGAAGGGTAAGAGGAATCTTTTAGTTTTTTTGTTGTTGTATTTTTGGTTGTTTGTTTTTTTAAAAAAAATTTTTGCCTGAGATTCTTGTTTCTGAATGGAAAAACCCATCCATTCTTTCTTTGACATCTTGTAGTATATGCCTGCCATTTAAAGTTCTGAAAGCCTTTGCACAAACATCAGCAATCCTGTGTTAGGCAGATGTGTTACTGCTGCAAAATGTATAGTGTATGGAGTAGTAGTTAATATTGCTCCCAGACAAAGGGATTAAGGTTTCAAAGGTTGTTTCCTCCACAGTGGAACCACAGCTACTGAAATGAATGTGAGTTTTGCCATTGACTTTAACAGGGCAAAGATTTAACCTGCAAGTTAATTATTTTAGAGTGCTTGTTCCTGGCAATTTCCAATTTAGGCTCTTGTTTCTGTGTGATAGTGATTGCATACAATTACAACAAACACTATTAGTACTTTTTCATTATTTTCTCACAGAAAAGCTCTTTCTATGCTTTCTAGTGTACCTTTTCACAGACTCGCTGGTGGAAGCCAATACAGTACTATTTCCATAATAATACTACTTTATTATTCATGCCAGTTATAAAATGTGAAATTCTGTGGGTGAGTAAAATTGAGCAAATACAGATGTCTGAATGTTTTTGAACTATACATGCAGCAAAACAAAGATTTGCTTCAGGAGAGACCACTTGACTTATGCTGGAAACTAACGATTTAAGAAAAAGGAGGTAGGCAAATCATTATAAAACACATGCTGATCATAACTAACAAAAGTGAAATTACTGTTAAGCCTCTCTACGTTTTCTAATGAGTATATATCATGTCAGAAGCAGTCTGTCCTTCTTGTGGGAAGGGTTAATACATCTTGCTTATCAGACACTGCAAAAGAATTAGTGTAGCAGAATATCTATTATTCCTCCTGTGTTCCTTGAGGACCCTCCCGTGGCTTTAGGATGGTTAGATATGCCCACTTTTCTAACTCAGCAGTTAGGAAACTGCCAACTCCTCTGTGTCCGGTGCTGTGGTACAACTTGGCAGCGTTTGTTCTAGCTCAGGATTGCAAAAATAGCACGATGTACCAGCCCCTGGCACTTACCAAGCTCAGGTCTCAGTCCATGGCTTCTTGCAATGTATCCCCTTTTTCTCTGGCTGCTTTCCTTCAGCTTTAATTTGTGTTGCTTCTGGTGTTGCCTTGTGTACTCTTGCTGTGCCCATACATACGTGTTCTACTCTGCTGTTTGGAAAGGCTTCCTGATCTCTGGAAATTATTTCCTTCCTCTATGAACTCGTTCTGTTGAGACAGTTTTTCATCAATCATCTGCCATGATTAGTTCCCCAGCGCTCACAATTTGATCTTTCAGTTATTTCCGTCTCTCTCTTCCTTCTGCAACCTAGATCTGTGCTGGACCTGCACTTCCTTTCTCCTCTGATTGCAAGCCCCTTTTCTCTCCTCAGTCCCATCTCCATCTGCATCATTAGGAGACACTCTGCTGGTACCCACAGCCAGGTCTTCATCAGCTCTTGCTTTGATTGTAGCAGCTTCCAGTCGTGCATCTTCCCCAGAACATCATAGTGCAACGGTCTGCACGCTGTATCCTCAAGTGCTGATCTGTGGGACGGAGAAAAGCTTACAGAGCGAGGCTGATGAAATCTTCCACTGTAGGTTCTCTCCAGCTTTGGTTATCCTGTGCTTTGCACAGTGAAAGATGTGAGCGGGGATTCTTCCATCCCTTTCCTCAGGAGAATATTTTCTAGCTTCACAGACCTGACTTCTAGGCATTCTTTCCTAAATTCTTCCTTTCCTTGGTCTCCTGTTATTGCTCATTATGTGTATGACATGATATTCTCCACAATGAGTCAGTTAAACCCGCTCATTTTAACAGCAGGGGAAAATCTCTTTATTACATGATGAAGAAGCCAAAATAGCTGTCCTCCTCTTTCATTATGCTTGACAGAAATCCATATGTCTGAGGGTTTTTCCTAATAAATGATCTCCAGGCCGAGGAAAGTCTGAGATCAATTTGTGGTTCTCAGGAAGCCCTACTTAGTAATGACATCATGTTGTAACCCAGAATGCTGTTTAGCACTTAATGCTGAGAGAAGGGATTTTGACTGTGCTTTGTAGGGGCAAGGATTGGATTCTGGCTTCTCATTTCCAGATTTGGAAATAAAGGAGGCAAAGAAGAAGCCCTACCTCAGCAGCACAACGTACCCTTTCTCCCCATTCCTCTTGCAGGAAATTAAATCTTCTAGGTAAGTGCTGAATGGAGGAGGAAGAAGACTAGCAAAGCAGAGTGCTGCTTGTGAATGAGAAGCAGAGATGATTGTCTTATTTAATTAATATAAAAATAAAATGAAATCAATACCCTTTGCTTGATCTCAGTGAAGATCTTCTTGTGGACAGGCCATCAAGCTTCTAGTTGAAAATCATGCTAGCTGAGGTGCTGATGGAGATCTCTTACTCTGACCAGAAAAAACTGGTAATTGTATTGTAGAGCACTGACTAGAAGACTGACTGTTTTAGCTGCATAGGGCTGAAAAGGGTTATGGCATAGTTAATAGTTGTGTTGGACTGCAATACTGAGTCTCGTTTAAGAAATACAAGTTTGAAGCTCCTAGTCAGGAGGGTCTGGAAGCACTCTTGATCTAATTCATACAGTGTGACTCTTTTGCAGGTACCAACCTTATGCTGAGTCAAAGCAGAGTACTTGTGGAAAACTATGAATGCCAGCTTTATGATCACATTTCTTACATCTTCTTTCCTTCTTTTTGAAAGCAGCTTTGCAGTTCAGGGGTCAGTGCTTCCTCTGAAAACCTACTGGATGGATTTCCAGAGCTGGTTTGCGTTCCCTGTTGGAGTACTGCTATGCTGTATTCTTCAGGCATCTGCCATTCAACTTCCTGCATCTGAAAACTGCACCAGCAATGGTCAAAGAATATCCTTCAGCCATTCCTACAAGATTGACCTGCCCACATCCTCCCAGATCAAGGTAGAGGCGGATCCATTGCAGCACGAAGGCAGCAGTGGGGTGCAGCTAGATCCTGGTGAGGCTGAGGAAAATGAAGAGCAGGATATCATCTTTAGGCACAACATCCATGTGCATGCACCCAAAGCGAGCTGTGAAACTCTGGCCCATGTTAAAGACCTTCTTGAGAGGATGGAGAAGCTAGAGAAAGAAGTTGCAGAACTGAGAGAAATCTGCAGCCCTCAAAAGTGCTGTGGGGGAAGCCAGGGTATGTAACAATTGAAGTATCTGTTTTTATCTTCTACATATAGCCTGTTTTCTGCAGAGAGATGGGGACTGGAATCCTTTTGTAAGGGTTATGAGAGTGAAAAGCTCAGAGTGCAGACAGAATGGTGGTTTTGTGATCAGAAGGGAAATCTGAAGGTCCCAAAATGTGGTAGAAGACACCACTTCTAGAACCAGTGCAGAGGAAATCTCCCCCAGTCATCTCCTAGCAATGGAAGGAAAGAGTTCCTGAGTTTCACATGGGTGAGAGAGAGGATTAAATGGAGGAACTCTGAGAGAGGTGAAAATGAAGGGGGCAATTTGTTGCCATCTTTTCCTTTCTCATTTCTGTCTCCAGAATTTTGCATTTGTTGAGAACTGCTGGTTTTGTTTCTTCTTCAATACCTGTCTAAAACAAGAGCAGTTCCTGGTGGTGGTTTTTTTGGCAGTCACTTGCTCTCTATCAAATTTAGCTGCTTGGCACATGGGAATAATGAACTTTCCATTTTCATAATAACAGTGATGATAAATGGCGAGCTTAAATTACAACTCAGCTTAGAGGCTGTGGAAAGCCTTCTAATTGATTGGTATGTTAGTGGATTTTTGCATTCCTGCTGACTCCAGACAAATGCACTGGGAAAGACAAGAGGGAGCAGGACCCCCTTTGGACCAGGGGCATGTGGTTGTGTGATCTTCAGCTCTTCTTCAGCCCATATATAGTCATACTTTAATGACTTTGAACTCACCTTCTCATCGATCTGTTCCTCAGTTTGTTTCCTTTTTTTTTTTTCTTCTCTCTGTGCATCACCCTTGCTGTTGTGCATCATGGTGCTGCTGTGGCCAGGTGTCACGCACTGCAGCGGTCACGGGATGTTCCTCTATGAGACCTGCAGCTGTAAGTGTGCAGAGGGCTGGGAGGGCAGTGACTGCTCCCGCCCCACCTGCCCCAACCTCTGCAGTGGCCACGGGCGCTGTGATGGCGGGAGGTGTATCTGTGATGAGCCTTATTTCAGTGAGGACTGCAGCCAGCAGCTCTGTCCTGAGAACTGCAGCGGCAATGGGATCTGTGACACAGCTAAAGGGGTCTGCCTGTGCTATGAGGAGTTCATCGGAGAGGACTGCAGCGAGAAACGATGTCCCGGGGACTGCAGTGGCAATGGGTTCTGTGACACAGGAGAGTGCTACTGCCATGAGGGGTTCTTTGGCCCTGATTGCTCCCAGGGTAAGATATGCTTGTGAGTTATTTCTCCCTTCTTACTTTCATTCTGCATTTCCCTTTCGTCTCTTGAGGAAGTGCTGGGCAAACCAGGCCTGGAATCACCAAAGTCCCTTCTGAGTTCCTGTTGGGATTGTACTCAGGGATGGCTGTGAGTGTCCCATGTCTTCAAGAATTGCCTGGAAAGTGTTTCTGGATTGAGAAAATAGGAAAACACAGGTTAAGGCAAAGCTAGCACATACATGTGGATAGTGGCTGAAGGAGAGAGCTTAACAAAGTACATATCCTGTAATTAAAGATGGAACTTTAAATCTGTTTCTTGACATATAAGTGAGATAATAAAAGGTGAAATTATAGCTGCTGTAGTGTGTGCTGCTTGCTGATAAAGCAATTGATTTGATAAAAACTTGTTAGATGAAAGATGCGTAAAGCCATTAAGTAACCACCCTTTGAAAGCAAGGGCTTTAGGAAACTCTCACAATACTCTATTATGAGGCAGAAGGATTTGCCTGAGAAGGTGGACTGAGCTCACCTTGAAGTGTGCATCCAACAGTCTCTGCTTAAATGCTGGATGGCTTGGTATATATTCTGAAAAACCTATAATCTCCCTATAACCACAAGCTGATACTCCAGGCCTTAACCCTCAACCTTGTGCCCTGAAAGCCACCTTGCTTTCTGTGCTTAGTCTAATCTTTCACAGCTGCTCAGAAAGGAGAGGTAAGTAACAACCACACACTGAGCAGCAGCTGGTGCTCAGTAGGGGTTTGCAGTGACCTTACTGGCAAGTCTTTAATGCTCCCTGTCATCCCTCACCTCTCAGACTCGACCTGTCTGCTTAGAGGCTCACCGTTTATACAGCCTACTAGCTCACATTCTTCACTGAAACAAGAGCTGCACATGGAAGTTTCACTCCTGCTATCCATTCCTCACTACTCATTTTTCTTTATGGCTGCAGCACTCTCCTGTCCTTTCAGCAGACTGGGATTTGCAGCTCAGGCCAGCACCTTTACAGAGGTAGCAAGAAGAGAACTGTTTCTCAGTGCAGCCTCACTAAGGGGCTGGCTGGCTCCATCCTTGGGTCATCTTCCTTACGCAGCACCTGCAGCTGTTTTATAGGCTGTGAAAGGGGCCTCTATTCTGAGTATACAAGTGAGCAAGCACTGCAGAGCTAGTGTATATTGCACAATCTATTTTGCTGCTGTTCCTAACAATAGGCTTTCACTCCCAGTTAAAAAGTGTTTTAAGTCCACAATCAAATGCTTCTTGTGTCAGCACCTGTAGCCAAGTTGTCCCCTTTCTATAGCTGCCCCATTGCCTTTTCTCCTTTTCTGTTCCGTTTGATTAGATTCTTGTAACCTGGGAACTTAAATTGAGCACTGTTCTTTCTGTTTGTTTGTTTCTAATGTATCTCAGATAATGAAAAAGCATCTTGTTGTGTGTTGCCATGGTAACCGGCATGTCTGATCATCTAGAACTTATTCCCAAGCATGCAACAGTATAATTAGTGCTTGCAGTTCCTTGCAAAGGAAAGTTGATGAGAAGGGCATGCTGAATAGCAGATACTGACTTGTGCTCTTTCTCGAGTTTCAGTTTACTGGCTGCTCAAAGATAGTGTTGTGGGATATTTGTAGATGAATAAAACAGGAATTTCAAATGAAAATATCCTTAGAAGTTTGTTTTTTTTGGTATCTCAGCATGACATGGATCTAATGAGGAACTCTGTGTTTTGATGCTATAATCAGAAAAATGGGAAAGAAAACAAAGCAGAGCTGGCTAGTCTCAGCAGAATAAGATTCTTGACAAGTCCCATGAGCCATCACTGAATCTATGAATGTGCTGTTCAGTACCTGCTCATGTATTCCATTATGGCCTTAGTCTGCTTCCGGAGGAGAAGCTACCTGATGGAGAGGGATTGATGAGCATGAGCAGAGCCCAAGAAGGACTTGTGGCATGACCCACAGCCACCTGTCCTCCTAATTCACCTCAGAGTGCGTTAGTAGGGTCTGTGGGAACCCTTTTGCTTCAGGCCAGGAGCTTCCCTTTCCATCTCCTGGACTTGGTACTCTCCAGGAGTTACTTTTCAGTCCATAAAAGGAATAATAAAATAGCAACTTTTTCTCTTAGATTGACAAGGAGGTGAATGTTTGCTTTGCAGATGGACTCTGAATGGGCTTGTGTCTCTACAGAGCCTGGTGGTCTCAGTTTGCACTTCTTAGTGGAACTATAGCTGTCCGTATGCAAAGGACTTCTGTATGATAGCCTTTTCATCCATTCACAGAGCAACAAGTTGTCTTCTGCTGCAGCCTGCTGAAATAGAATCCTTGTGACTTCACTGAGTCCTGGACCAGATTGTAACCCACCATCCTCATTGCAGTATTTCTGTTTGTTTTTCTTCTAGTGCTTGCTCCTCAAAACTTGCAGCTGCTGAATGCTACAGAGGATTCCATGGCTGTCAGCTGGGATCAAATGATTGATGTGGATAATTACCTCATCAGCTATTACCCAGTGGGGCATGAGACACTGGAGAAACAAGTCTATGTGCCCAAAGAGCAGCTCAGCTATGAGATTACAGGTCTCCATCCTAGCACCACATACAATGTCACACTTCGTCATGTGAAGAAGGGGATTGCCAGTGAGCCCATGCAACTACAAGCAAGTACAGGTAGGAACGGACAGACCTTTCTTTCAGAGTTGAAATCTGTAGGTCTTTCATGTTAGATTTAAGCAAACAGAGTAAATGGTTTGTCTTTGCAAGATTGGAGCTTGCAAGATCCTGTCTGAATGCTGGAGAGCAGTACCTCTTTCTGACCTTATCTCATTTTTTTTGCTATTGTTCTCTTTTGGAGAATCTGCTTATAGATCTGTATTTCTGGAACTGAATGCATTGCAAATTTCCTGTGTCTCCTTTTATCTTTTCCAAATCTGACTGGCATAGACACTTCTGAATTCCAGGGAATCAATGATGTTGCCCACTGCAGGAAGCATACCAAAAGCCAGCATGTTATTAAGAGTAGTGCACTATTTGACTGGATGAAGGAGGAACTTCAAAGTAGGGAGGGCATCTTTTCTAAGTGTTACTTGCCAGACATGCCTTCAGTAGCAAACTTTCCTCATAGTCTCCTCATAGGACTGAATGAATCGGATGCTGCTGAGAACAGCGAGCTGGGTGTGGAAAGACTGAATTTGAAGCAGACTCTCTATAAGTGAATGCCATTTTATTAGTAGCTGGTAGCATGCTGTCTGCCTGCACTTGGTAAAAACATGGAAAAGTCGGGTTATTTTGACATTTTTTCTTAGCTCTAGCATAACAGGTTGAGAGCTGAGAGCCAGAGAACTCCTGAATCAGAGTGTTATTGTGGATGAGACGACTCCTGTTGAGATAGTGGTTGTGCCATACTCACTTAAATCTTAAGTTTGGCTGAGGAAAATGGCTTAGGTCTCAGAGCAGTCATCTGAGGAGGGAGAAGGTCTGTTCAGCAACTTCCTATCTTATATTCACCTTTTGATGGTTGTGCTGCTTTTTCCTGGCACGCTTTTCTGTCCTTCCCAGTCCCATCTGCACTCAGTGCCATCTGGGTGACGGAGGAGATGGAGTATTCCCTGGAAGTAGAGTGGGAGAACCCACCAACAGATGTGGATTATTACAAGCTGAAATTCAGATCCCTGGTGGGCGTGGATGAGAAGCAGGTCATGGTGCCCAAAAGCAGTGACCCCAAGAGCAGACACATCATGACTGGTGAGTACTTGTGACTATTCCATATTGGGCAGGGAGAGATGGTACAAGTGATTTGTCTTAATCACAGTTCTGAGATGACTCTTCTCTGTTGTGTTCTCCTTCACCTTGAGGCCACTGTATGCCAGGATGAGATCTGCTGGGAGTCCTTCAACAGGGTGAAATTTTCTGTGCACTGTGGATAGCAGCTTTCAAGACTGACAGCTTTAATTCTATCCTTGTTACAAAATAAAGCATATTCTTTTATTTCAGAACTGGAAATACCAATGTTGCAGAAATCCTCGCTATAGTTAATATGGACCCTAATGACAAGACTGGACCAAGAATGCTTCCAAGGCATTCTCAAGACAAGAGGAAGTTTAGATAGATATCTACATTTTTAAATGCTTCTCTGCTACAAACCTAGAACTGGGGAGACTAAACAAAACAGCTTTTAAGAAAAATTACCTTCTGATTACAGGCCTAAAACCTGGCATGGAGTATGAGGTTACTGTCATACCTGTGAAAGATGATACAGAGGGTAAACCATCCTCAGTGAGTGGCAGGACAGGTAGGTGGAATGTTTCTTTTATGGTAATGATTTTACTACAGATTTTGGGGACAATTCTGTCAAGGTCACAATGTGAAAGGTACTCAGTTTACTGTTTCTTCATGCATACTGCTGTCAGGGCTGCTATTACCTCATTTAAGCTTGTTTCTGTTTATTAAACACTAAAGCTAGCCCTTGATTTTTAAACCTACTTTATTCTTAACCTGAAATGAGCTCAGGAGGTTCTGCTGGTTGAGTTCCCTAACCAGATGATTGACAAGATGACCTCACTGAAACCATGTACACATGATTTCCAGTCTGGGTATGGCTGCTGTTGCTGACTGCTTTGCAGCTGTTAGCTGCTAGCGATTTGTTTGGCTCCTGAGCCTAGGAACAGTAAGGAGGAGGGTAAATTCTTCTTCCTTCCTGTATTCCCTGGCTGCAGCATCATTTTTCTGTTTATTAGACTGTGAACTGAACAGTAGTGCATGCTGAATGTTTAAACAAGTCTGGAAAACCTGTCGGTTCATTGGTGCTTCAGGCTCTTCAAAAATATGGCAAAACATTTTTGAGCTATTCATTATATTACAAAAGGAATCTTGAAGAAATTTCAGTTTCTCATGCCGTGAGAAGTATTGTAGTGGTTTAATTTATATGGACTTTCCTAATCCTGCATTTCAAAATGCTGTTCTCAGGAATTGATAGCCCAACCAATGTGGTGACAGATCAAGTGACGGAAGACACAGCCACTGTCTCATGGAATAAAGTTCAGGCTCCCATAGACAGGTACATGGTGAGATACACCTCAGCTGATGGAGACATCCGGGAAACAGAGGTAGGCAGTGAAAACAGCATCATCACCTTATTGAATCTGAAGCCAGGCATGGAATACACCATCCATATCTGGGCAGAGAAGGGACCCCACAAGAGCAAGAAAGCCAGCACCAGAGCTCTGACAGGTAAGTTGCAGTGGCAGCAGGAGTAAACTGGGTCTGAATTTCAAACACCTTTATTAATTTTACTTGTTTCAGTACAGCTTCTGTATTGCACAAGTTTAGCAAGTCAAATTCATTTAATTCTTATCAGTGTGACTGATAAGTCTCCAGCTTAGCAGAAGTTCTTTGTGTGAGTCCTGTTGTGTGGAGACACTATGGCTTGGCACCAGTTTTGTCAGTACAGAGAATGGTTAAACACAATGAATACTAAAGCCTTAGAACTGTGATACATTAAAAATGTCTTAAAAGTAGCATCAACCACCTCCAAGATGTTCTTGTGACCTTGCCCAGTAGTAAAGTGAGATCATAGAAGTGTTGCAGAGTCAATCGTGACAGTGTTTGTTAAAAAGGAAAAATGAAATATATTCGTATTCATGGCATAAGGTAGAAATTGTGTGGGGAATCAAATCTCCTTAACAGGACAGTCACGTGGTGATAGGGATCCTCAGTTGTAAGGGCATGTGAGCAGCATCTGCAGCTCTTTTGGGAAACCCCTCAAAGCTCTGCTTTGCTCATTTTTTATAATCAAGCCTGATGTATTCTCACATGGCCGTGCAGGAGCAGATTCTATTAACTACCTACAAATGTCTTTGTGCATACAAGCTCTTTCCAGATCTTTGGGCACAGAATAATTTCCCAAAGCTCATCTGTTTTTCAAAATATATGTTAGTCTAATAAAATATACTGCCTCTGCCTACAAAACTTATGTTGTCTGTATCTTCAGACCATTGTCATTACCACAGTGCTATGCTGAAACTTCTAACAAAGAATTTTACTTACAGAGATTGACAGCCCCACTAAACTGTTGACTGATCAAGTGACAGAGAATGCAATCACAGTTTCCTGGAACAAAGTCCAGGCTTTAATAGACAGATACAGAGTGAATTACACCTCAGCTGATGGGGATACAGAGGAGAGAGAAGTGGAGAAAGACAAGAATATCACCACCTTGGCAGGACTGAAGCCAGGCATGGAGTATGTTATTCACCTCTGGGCAGAAAAGGGAGAACAACAGAGCAAGAAGGCCAGCACTGAGGCTGTGACAGGTAAGAGGGCAGTAGGTTGAGTGTATAAGCTACAGTCTGGGTTTGCCTTAACATTGAATAAGTCTCTCATTTTCGTGACAAAGGGAAATTCAAGCTTAAGAGATACAATCTTTGGGTTAAAGCATCTTGCTGTGAAGCCCATTCAACTTTATCACAGAGAGATCATAATTACCAGTATGTACTACAGATAGGCTGCATGGTGATTACTAATTGTGTTAGTGGTCTTCACCTGTGAAAATGATGCTATTCCATTCTCGCATCAATCATGTATTTGTCTGGTCTTAGTTTGGTTTGTTGGTTTATCCTTTTTCAAGGGTTAAGTAAATGCTCAGTTCCTTTTTGCAGATGGGCAACTTGACGTGCAGAGTAACAGCGTGCAGGATTTTTTTTTTTTTCTTGCAACAGGATAATTTGTCCAAGTTCCTCAGTTGTTCTTACCATTTTGTTCTCTCTTCTGTGGTCAGTCCTGGTAAAGATGATAGAGTGCTCTGCCCGTTGTTGGCTTATAACATTGTGAAGATGAGTGTATCCTTTACAAGCAGTTGTAAGCATTTACAAGACCCATGCTCTTAATCAGGGACTTGCTGAAGAGAAATGAGTAAAAGAGTACTTGGGTCTCTTAAAAAAAAAAAAAAAATTAATAATAAAAAAAAAAATAAAGAGAGAAACCAGCCCCAGAGGGGAAGGAGTCTTGTGGTGTCACAACCCAGCCTGATTGTGACATCTTGCATTCTTGTCTTTTTCTTCTCTGCAGAAATTGACAGCCCCACTCACCTGGTAACTGATCAAGTGACAGAGGACACAGTCACCATCTCCTGGGACAGGGTTCTGGATCTCATAGATAAGTACGTGGTGAATTACACCTCTGCCAATGGTGATACTGAGGAGATAGAAGTGGGGAAGAACAAGACTGCCACAACTCTGGTAGGACTGAAACCTGGCACTGAATATGTCATCTACCTCTGGGCAGAGAAGGGAGTGCAGCAGAGCAAGAGAACCAGCACTGAGGCAGTGACAGGTATTCTAGAAGAATCCTTATGATTCTGTCCTATGTTGTGAAGGTGATCTGTTTCTACCCTGCCTGCTTCCTTCTGTTGCAGCCTGTACTAGACAGCAATTTATCTTGTGCTTGCTTATGATGTGGAAACATTCATACTACAGGCACTTCAAGCTTCGGGTAGAAATACTGCCTTCTCTCAAGTCAAGAGAAAAGATTTTAATTGCTTGCAGGAACTAAAAACTGATTTAGAAACTGTCAGACTAGTATGAGCTTCATTATGCTTTGCTAAAGCACTGTAGCCCTCACTTACCAGTCATATGTGCTGGTTTTGGTCTCCAGATATGCTGAGCTCTGTAGGTGTGACTGAGTGTTGTTCCACAGTACTGTTGAATACTACTGAATACTACTGTTGAATCCTACTTAAAATTATGTGCCACTGATAAGAATGGCATTAGCCAGTGAATCAAGGCTTGGAAGGAGACAGCCCCACTTTACTCATCTTCCATAACCCAAGAGGGTGAAGAATTTTTTGAGCCCAGAATAAGTCTCTCAAGTATCAGTAATTCACTTCATGTCATGAAGGCCGTTGCTTGCAGGATCTGGATGCTTAATTAGGCTGAAAACTGGCTGCCTGGCAGCTTTCTAGAAATGAGGAAGAGAGAGAAGGTTGCTGGTCTCACTATCCTCATTAGCTTGTAGGCAGACACGGTGTCCATCATCTGTATCACGGGGCTATAGAAAGCTAAAGCTTTTAAGAGCAACATGTGTGTGTTTTAGTTCCTTATACTTCGTACTTTGCACTTGACTTTTTAGAATTGGACAGCCCAAAGAATCTGGTAACTGACCAAGTGACAGAAGACTCAGCCACAATCTCCTGGGATAGCGTCCGAGCTCCCATAGATAGGTATATCGTGAGCTACACTTCTGCTGATGGGGGCACCAAGGAAATAGAAGTGGGAAAGGCTGAGAGCGTTACAACTCTGACAGGACTGAAAGCAGGCATGAAGTACACCATTCATCTCTGGGCAGAGCTGGGAAGCATGCAGAGCAAGAGGGCAAGCACTGATGCGCTGACAGGTAACTGTGGGGAGAAGAGAAGCAGAGTAGAAGAACCCCACTCGTTTGTTAATTTACATTTCCACGATCTCTCTTTGCATTACTGGGTAATGAAGATCTACTGTGGTAAATACGTTCTGGAGATAAGTGCATGATTATAGCCTGACATAACAGAAACTGCTATTAGAGGCTGCTGTAGAAGAGACAGATGTCAGAACACAGAATGGTGACAGCTGAGTACACAGCTTATTTCACTTCTTAATCAAAAGCATGCACTGCTTTGTATGCTGCTATCAAGTGTAACAATAACAGACATTTAACAACCAAAGTTAAACCACCTTAGACTCGGAGGCAGTTAAAAAATAATGGCTTGACTCATGACCTTAGACTGTCCTAGGAAACTTAAAAACAGGCTTAAATCTATCTTGTTCAATCAGCTATAAGGATGATAGTGTTCTGGCAATATTTCAGGGTCACTCCATATCTGTTGGCCTTGCTAATGTGCTTTTTCTTAGTTTCTGAGTCAAGCTGGTGTGAGATAGAAAAGATAGAGCTTGAACTCAGGGCAAGGTGCCAGACAGATCCCCAGTGCTTGCAGAGGGCAAGGGCAGCACGTAGAAATAAAAGGATATTTCTTAAGGCCAAATGTCTAAGCCTGTCTTTAACTGAAAAATTTAAGGAAAATTTAAGTAAATTGAAGTGGTTTTTTTTTTCAACTAGAATGAAAATGGATGCACCTGGAAATTTCACATGAATTGAAACTGCCCAGAGAGGGAATGCATTTAGCTTCAGTAGGGGCGTTTTAGAAATATCCGTGCCCATTAAAAAGTGCTTTTTCTTTTTTTTCTTTCCCTCCCCCCCTCTCCCCCATCTTGGTGGTGTTTTTCAAAAAAAAACGTGACACCTCTGGTAAAATAATCCAACTCCTGAAAAAAAACAAACACATTTTTAACTCTACGTGCTGGCTGCTTACTCACTAACATTCCTAAAATATGCTGTAGCAGGGAGCTATTCTGCAGTTATATCCTTCACCTGGGGAAGCTGCAGGAACAGTGCTGTAAAATTCAAGTCCTGCCAGGAGGCTTCCCAGCACTTGCTTCTCGTGTTGGATTTGGCACCTTTTAGCTCCCTCTTCTGTCCGTGGAGTGGTACACATGTAATGAGTAATACATTATTACACGTGTCATAAGAATGGAGTCATTAATTTAAAGCAGTTGTGTGGTGGTCTCTTGTATGAAGTAGGAGTTGATTAATAACAAACAAATGCTTGTCTCAGCGAATGTTGGATTTCATTTATAATGAATAACTCAACTTTTAAGCAGCACATTCTGTCAACTTAAGAGTTAATGTCTTTGTTGATTCAATTTATCTGGTGTTTTGATTTCTTTTTTTTTCTTTTCTGTTTTTATGTCTTTTTTTTAAGCAGTAGCCCCATACTCAAGGAATGTAGAGAAGCTGTACTGTTCTATTCTTCTTGTTTATCTAATAAAGGCCAAAGTATTGGCCTTGTTTTCCTCTGTGGCCTTTTCATAACTTGTAATATTTCATTGTTGCATTATAATCACTGTTATGATTGTTCTCATAACACTCTCCAAGATCTGAGAAGTGTTATTGCTTGGCTTATACAGAGAAGAACTGAATCAATGAGCAAGCTAAGTGGCATGCTTGTTACCTCCCATGGAGATCCATGGAAGAACAGGAGAGTGTTCTGAATTATTCAGTTCTAGTTTGCTATAAACTCAGGCATTCTTCAGGGCTGGAGCACTCTTCCCTCAAGGCTAGCACTGCCCACCAAATGCCTTCTTTCTAAAATTTGGAAGGCCACACAGTCCTACTGCTTAAGTTGTTTTCTCTAAGACGTTCCCAAAACACCAGAATAGCAAGCATAGGATGAAAATTTGAGAGAGGCTGCTTCCATTGTTATTACTTCCAGATGAGCTTAGCAATTTGGTTTTATCACGAGGGAAGCACTGGAGCCTTGTTATGGGTATCTTGTAAGACAGATGCTTTTTGACACCTGCTGTGAATTAGTGTTGCTTAAAAATAATTGTCAGACTTCTCAGACAGATGAATCGGGAGCTTTCAGCCCCTGGGAGTCTCTATACAGCTGAACCAGTTGCAGGGCTCACAAAACCACAAACCAAATCTGTGATGATCTTCCCATGGTTGCTGTAGGCTTCTGTTGCTTGCAAACTTCACTGAGTGACTTCCGTAGTTTCCAGTTCACAGGATCAGGCATTGCAAAGCTCAGCCCAAGTTTAGCACAGGAATTGCTGTATTTCTTTTATGCAGAGGGACTTGAATTTTCTTTTCTTTTTCAATAGAGATTGATCCTCCCAGGAACCTCCATGTATCTGATGTGACTCAGACTACTGGTGTAGTTACCTGGGCTCCTCCTGCAGCACAGATTGATGGCTACACTCTGACCTACCAGGGTCAAAATGGCACCAGCAAGGTACAGTGAATTCCTCAGCCCTGCAGAACTCACTGACATCACCCTTATGGTTATAGGCTCTGACATTTGAATCTTGTGGGTATATGGACCAAAGGTAAATAATTTTGAGGTGGAATCTATGCTATTATTAGCCTGGGGAGGCAGAGCCTGAGGAAATGTGCTACTGTTATGAGTAGAAGCTGTGGAGAGACTCTGAGACAGTGGATACCACTTTCCAGCAGATCTTCAGGACGCAGAGAACAAGTTTACTGCTTCACTTTCCTTTTCTAACTTGTTACTACATGAAAAAGCAGCATTAACCAGGGACACAGTGTCTTCAGTATTTTAACAGTGTTTTTTGAGACCTTGCATCAAACCTTTCTCCTGAGGAAATGGATTTCATGTCTTAAAGATATGCAGCTAGTGTATGCCTATCTGAACTCCTACAAGAAAAGCCTATAAATAGGCTTTACTGAGTGTGAGGCACTGTGGTCCAGAAAAGCTAAGTGTTGTACAGAGTTGGGTTGATCTTCAGTCTGTTTTATTTGGCAGGAAGTGCAGCTGGGTCCTAGGGAACAACAGTTTGTGCTGGAAGGACTGGAACAAGGAACAAAGTACACTGTGTTTGTGATGGCCTATAAGGGAGATCACCAGAGCAGAAAGACAGTCGGTACCTTCTCAACAGGTAGGATTTGGTCTTGAGTGTTGCACTTGCTCCGTGGGCTCTGCAGCTGTTGTGTCTTTATGGTTGAGGTCTGAGAAGGAACTCCTGTTCTGGGAAACAATGTGATCAGAAGCAAATTGTTTAGTGAGTTGAAAACTTGTCTTCTGGCTGGGTTCTGTTCTAAGCCACACAGTCCAGAGCTTTGGAATCCCAACAGGATAGTGCAAGAGGAAATTGCCCACACTGGTCAATGCTTCTGCCAAACCCTGCTGGTCAAGTGCAGGGCAAAGCCTCCTGGTGAGTTGCCATTGGGCAGGAGAGAAGATAACGGGCTAGGGATTTTTCAGCACTGTCACAGTAATGACAGGCCAGCAGTTGTGTAAGTACTGTTGTGGTCCTGAGTAGCTGCCTGGTTGTTTCCAGAGATCAGGAAATGTATGCCTGGATGCCAGCAAGTCAAATATTCTCATGCCTTGATGTGGGTGCCTCTTATACTGAGCTGGTCCTCACAGAGGCTGCCAATTGTGGGTGGGTTGTGAGATGCAGATAAAATGCCTTTTTACTGGCGTTCCCACTTTCACAAACCAGGGTTTCTCTTCCTGCTCTCACTGTGACCCAAGGCAGCATCTCCTGCAGCCTCTGGTGACCCCATCCATGTTTCAGCTTCTGAGCAGTGGGGAAGGCTGCCAACAGCTACCTGCTGATGCAGCTGGGTGCTTTCTTTACTTCTCTTCCAGTACTGTTGTCCATAAGAGATTCCTAGGGGTGTGAGATGGCTCCTCCAGCTTTGCTCTCTCTTCTCCCAGTTAGCTTCCTCTACCCGTACCCTGCGGACTGTGCCCAGATGCAGCAGAATGGAAACATCTCCAGCGGCCTGTACACCATTTATCTCAATGGCAATGGCAGCAGGCCCATGCAGGTGTACTGTGACATGACCACTGATGGAGGCGGGTGGATAGTGAGTGATTCTCTGCTACTTTTTAAATTTTTTTTAATGAGCATCATCAAGTGAACCTGGTAGTGGGCTTAGCTGATGTTCCTTTTGGTCTACTGTGCTGTATTTCAGCTCCTCCTGTGATGGAGGAGCATGTTTTAGGAAGGGAGCGGATGCTGTTGTACCCTTTCAGACCGAGAGCAGGAATACTGTGGAAGGCTGGATGGCTCAGAAACAAGGGGATGCTGAACTTTGATTGCTTAGTCATGAATGTGACTCAAGGCTTATATTATTCCTGACTGAGGCAATGCCAGTTTGACGTTGCTTCTTGCTAGCTGGGCACACGAGTTTTCTACGAAAGTGCAAGGCAAGGTAGAGCAACTTAAAAGTCTTTTGTCATGAATGGACTAAGCTCTGTTATCTCATCTTGACCACTGGGAAAGGCTACAAGTATGGACAGTTAATGCAATTCAGCTGATGATCATATTTTAAATGCTAGAACTGTGAGCATGCCCCTGGATGGAGAGCAGCTGGAGGCAGAAACACAGACGCTTTGAGGTGGTGAATTTGTATAAGGGTGAGATAACGAATCTGAGATTCTCTGATAGCTGACTCCCTACACAAACAAATAAAAATATCTTTATTCACTTCTTTACCTTTTGTTTTCAGTGATCCACTGAAACAAATTGTGTGTTACTGCCCATGGCCCACGGATTCTGGTGAAATTTAGATAACTAGGTGTCTCTGTGGGTTTTGACCCTAGGCCTGACTTGTCCAGGTGCTGAGATCACACTGGGATTTTTGCTGCCCCCAGGCATTTGTGGAAAAGTGCGAAATTCGCACTACAAAGTACTCACCCCAGGTGCTTCTGTGCAATCAGAAAATGGTAATGTATCCTGCTCAGTTGCAGCATACCTTTTAACTAGATGCATCTGTTCCCAAACAATTCACCTTTCTGCCTGTACTTGGATCAGGATGAGGATTTTTCACCCCCACCCTCCTTGACTCTCAAATATCTGCCATGAGCTCTCACTCAGCAATCCTTGCCTTGCAGGTGTTTCAGAGGCGGAGCAGTGGTGAACTGGATTTCTACAAACGCTGGAAAAATTATGTGGAAGGCTTTGGAGATCCCACTGGGGAATTTTGGCTTGGTACAGTACAAGGGTGTGACTGCTGAAGATCAGCTTTGTAGAGGCGTCTAAATGCTGAAGTAGTCAGACTGAGTCTGCAGTCCTGACTTGTCAGCTGTTATGTCTTTCTTAGAAGTGCCATTTAAGCCATGAGTATCTCTGAAGGCCAGCTAAGTCTTTCCACTGGCATCTTTGGTATTTATAACAGTCCCAGAACAGGGCAAACTGAGGAAATATTTTTTGCAGGCATGCATGCTCCTATGCAAGGAGAAATAAAGACATCGTGTTAATGAAAATGCACAGTCTAAGCTATTACACAAAACATAGTGTGCTCAGTTTTTTTCTGTTAGATAACTGCTTGCATCAGAGAATCCAGCCCTAAATAAGCCAAGGTCTTTGGGGCAAGAGTCTTTGAATGTTCTTGGAAAAATACTGTTGCACAGTCTGTCCTGTGCTGCTTTAAACTGTTTTTTGTTTTTCTTTTTTTCTGACATTGCTATCTCTTGCCAGAAAATGGGATAAGACAGCATAAACTTGGCACAATGTCATGACAGCATCAAGCAATATGGGAGGCAGGCAGGAAATAGCTGATCGAACCAAAATGACCACGGGGTGAGATTCCAGGACTGCAAAGGTGAACAGGCCTTTCCCTTTTAACAGTAGTTTCCTTCTTTCTAGGTCTTGACCAGCTGCACAATCTCACAAGCAGCAGCCCCATCCACTATGAGCTGCGGGTGGATCTGCGGACAGCCAACGAGTCTGCCTATGCTGTCTATGACTTCTTCCAGGTTGCCTCGAGCAGGGAGAGATACAGGCTGTCCGTGGGGAATTACAGAGGCAATGCTGGTGAGGAGTGCCTGAGACTTGTTCTGTCTGTGCCATGCAGGGGAGCAAGTGCTGGGATTTAAGTATTTGTTTTGCCTGTAGCGTGGGAGCTCCTTAGTTCAAGTTAGATTGCATGTCCCTCCTTTTGAAGAGAGAACTCTGTATTTCCCAGGAGGACTGAGGAGATGTACCCCTCCAGACTTGTCTTCTGCTGAGGACACGATTAAGCTGTTCTTTCACAGAGAAGAGAGCTGCTCTGTGACCCATTGAAACACCACAGCTGAACAGGCAGACCTGAAGCATTTTCATGAGATTATCAATTCACGGAGGAGCAACTTCTGGGGCTCCCCAGCTGAGAAGTGCAAAGAAAGTGGCTTTTGTTCAGAAGGAGACTTTGCTAAGCAGTAGTAGTCCTGGTGCTGGCTTCTGCCACTGGTAAATCCTTACCACTGTTATTGTGTCCATAGTCTTCCACTTATCCTTTGTTACCCTACTGCCCTGAGATTGAGATCTTCAGGCCCAGAGGATCCAGTCCATGAATGTGCCCTCTATTAGCAGCCAATTAGAAATTATTTTCTACATCTATTGCATGCCGTTGCTTTTTTCCTGACAGGCCTTCTGCGTTCTGCCTAATGAAAGCTGCATGAAATGCTCGGGCTGAGCCACTGCACACCCTTACTCTTACCCATCTCTGTAATCCTTTCTCTTAGGAGATGCAATGACTTACCACAATGGCTGGAAGTTCACAACGTGGGACAGAGACAATGATGTGGCTCTCAGCAACTGTGCTCTGACGCACCATGGTGCGTGGTGGTACAAGAATTGCCACTTGGCCAACCTCAATGGGAAATATGGGGAGAGCAAGCACAGTGAGGTGAGTGGCAGAGCTTTGACTGTCAGCTCTTCTCTCTAGCCTGGGAAAAACATATGGAGGGGGGAGTTGCAGCAGGACAGGTTGCCCATGCTATTTGAACTCGTTTTGTTTTAAAGGATAATGACCCATAAGGAAACTCATGGATTCTCCTAGAATCTGAAGGGCTTAAGCTCACAACCTGTTTCTTGTGGTGGACAGAGACACCTAAGGTGGAGCTGTCTTAATTTCAGAGAAGAACAGGGAAAAGAAGTCGGATACTTCCAGTGTGTTCCTGGTTTACATCTCATTGTACAGCCTGATTTGTGCTGGAAGATAACACAGTCCTGTTGAGCTCCAGATTGTATGGATAGAGATTTAGTTTTGTATTAGGAGCATCTAGAATACTGACTGTGGTTATGGTTTAAAAAAAATCTGGTGGAAAACAGCGTCTCTGTTTGTGGAAAGATGAAATGGCATTAGAAGGGGCAGTGGCAGACTCCAAACACCTGGTCTAAGTATTTTACTAAAAGAAATTATATGATCTTTTTGCAGGGGGTGAATTGGGAGCCATGGAAGGGCCATGAGTTCTCCATCCCTTTTACTGAGATGAAGATTCGTCCTCAGTCTTCTAGTAATGAGTCAGTCTTGGCAAGGAAGAAGAGATCTCTACCAGGAAAAACGAGGCAGATCCGATTTTAAATTGTCCTCTGTGCGTGACAGCACCCAAAGATTATGATTTGGTATTTCTTAACAAAATTAGGTTTGGATGACTTCCTCCACTACTTTGGAAGCAGCTGCTGACCCAGCTTGGACCCAGAAGTCTCTGAATCTGCAGCCCAGCCTGTTTCCAGCCTTTGGAGGTCCTGGTGGGTGCTCTGTCAGAGACTGGGAGGGGACTTGTGGGCGGCATGCCACTTGTAGCTTTCCTGGTTAAACGTGACAAGGACCTGCTTGATCCAATGTGTGCAACTTTTATGAATTGTTCGTAAAACAAGCTTTAACACGTTACTGTTTCTCAAAACCCAGCTTTCTGACTCCTGATTTCTGTCCTTCTGACTTCTGTCCAGTTCAGACTTCAAAGAACTTCATTTTGATCTCACTGAAAAATGAAATCTTTCTGATTTACATTAGAGAGCTTTTCTGAGACTGTTTTCTCCCTCATCTCTTGGTCAGTGGTTCTTTTTTTCCGTTCCCCTCATCATTTGGAGTGCAGCACTTCTTTCTTTTTCTCCAATCAAGGCACTGAGATTTGGGAAATGTTGTCAAGCTGCTGACAACGGGCCTCATTAATGCAAGCAAAGCCTGTAGTCTGGGTTCCTCAACCTCCAATACAACATCTTTCCAGGGTAATATCCTGATATATATTTAGCTTGTTTCTTCTTATTTCCCAGCCAAAGAAAAGCCTGAGGAGACATGCAGTAAAGGAATGTTTACACTCCCAGGTGATGCCCCAAAGAAGGTAAATGTAAGGGCTACTCTCCTCCGAGTGTCTCACAATCACAAACCTCTGTATAATCCTTGCTCGATACAGACTGTGAAGAAAATTCTCCATGTGACCATCCCATCTGCCAGCCTCTGCTTTTTCATTAGCAGTGTAGATAGATAGCGATGTTGAAAAGGTAATGTTTGTCATCCAGCCCTAAAATTAGCATCACAGAACTAAATGGACCTGCACACTCTCCCTTAGGCTTTTCTTTCAGGGTGTCTGGAGATTCAGGTAGGCTCCAGTAGCTGTTTTCACATTTAACTGTTTTCTTTATGGTCTGAGGAAAAAAAAAAAAAGTCTTACTTTCTTGCTCTGAGCAGATATTTAAATTCTGGACCACCAGCCTCATGCAGGGGAGAAATAGGAACTCACCAAATGATGCTTACTTAAAGGCTTGCTTGTCTGAGCAGATTGGAACATGATTGTCCTATGCTTTAATGGCTTTTTCTATCCCAGTGCTAAGCTGACTAATACATTTTAAAGAGTCCTCAGACTCTGAAGAAGCAATAAAATTGCAGATAAAGGAGGTCTTAAAATATTTCTGTCTTCCTTGCTTTGAGTGTCAGAATTATTATTCTTTCTCAATTTGAACTAAGCTTTATTTACAGAGGTGGAGCAATACCCAGGCCTGTAGCATTGCAGAGCAATGTGGAAAAACTAGTGCTGTGAAAATTAGTTCTCCAGAATTTCCAAAATGGGGATGGGGGTCTGTGTGATCTCTTCATTACTTGATACTGCAAAGAAGGTAACTGATCTTTGGCTGCCAGGACTTTGCTGAGGTGAGCTAGCAAGGGAGTTGTCTCTCACAAGTGAGGTCTAAATTCTTTGTTTTACTGCCATTTCCATGCTACTTGCATGAGTGGGCAGGCAGAGACTCAGCAGAGCTGCATTAGGCTATCCATTCCCCTTGGCATGAGCGAAGGAGGAAAGTTGCACTTGAAGATGCAACTCTGTCTTAAGAGCATGAGGGAAGGAAATGGGAAAAAGAGGGGGAGAGTATTGTGCTGAAGTGGTTCCTCTGCACTGCTCAGATGAGGGCAGGTTTCACTTTGTTGGTCAGCCAGAGAGCAGGTAACTAAGGGGGCTTGAGGATTAAATGTTTTACACTGAGCCTCTAAAAGCAAACCTATGCTCTAAAAGGTAACAGATGTGATCTCTCCCAGCAGCACTTTCGTGTGCACACTGCAAAGACAAAGCTCAATTGCGTTCCAAACCTGAATCTTACCTGGGAGCAGAGAATATTCTCTTAAGAAGGCTGAGCTTTGTATTTTACAATGAAAAGAAAGGTACCTTACTAGCAACTTCTGGATTGGCACTTGTTTCTCTGAAGTGCAGGCCTGTCTCCTTCACTAGGAAGGGTAGTCAGGGACCACTGCTTACATGGGAAGCCAGTATTTCCAGACAGCCACAGGATGGCATCCTCTCTTCGTGCTGCTTTAGGAGAACCAGTCCTGTATCCAGCTGGCCTCCACGGAAAGATGTTTTGAGGGCTAATCAGACTGTATCACAGATTTAAAGGTTGGGACTGCTCTGATAAAGCAGTTTCTTTTACTGCAGGAGCCGGCTGGTCTGGTTTAAAGATTTGGGCTTCCTGGAGTAGTCCAATTTAAAAAAAAAAAAAAATTAACATCCTCCTAGTGGCCTTGTTTTGTTGCTGTACCCAACCCCAAACACCTCAGGACCAGAACAACTTCTCAAAGCCTCTGCCTTGCTGGAAAATCACTTAAATTTCATAGACAGAGGGGTTTGCAACATGCCTGGGGTAGAATTTGAATCCTAGAAAGAAGATGTGCTGTCTTGACATCACTGAATTGACCAGGACTATGCAGCTGATGGGTCATGCAAACCCAGCTCTATCAGGGTCTCAGCATGGCCACTGCTCCATCCAGAGGGCTGGACTCTGCAAAATGCTGCTGTTGGGGAGAGGTGGCTGCTTCCTAAAGGCATTGGACTCTGTAATTCAGCATTCACTGGGCCACAGGAGAAGATGGGAGTGTCTTACCACACTGGGCACTTGGTTGGAAAGTAGCCAAACTACTTTCGGTTGCTGCTTCAGGCTTCGTTGACTGAAGAAATAGAGGAATGGTTACTGAGAATCCAATTCTTCCCTCCTAATGGGACTTCAGGGACTATATGGGGCAATTCTGGCACCCTTTCAATCCCTGGGGCTGTTCCAGGGAACAATCAAAAATTAATATCAGCTTCCTCCCACCCCCCACCTCCTCCTGCCAGTCCTTCCCAGAGCTCTGTGGCTTTTGTGCAGGACCTCAGTGCAGCATCCAGGTGAGAGACAGTTTTTATTTTCATTCATTTTCATGGAGGGATTAATTACTTAGTGGTACAGATGCCCACCGTGCCATTTGGAAAAACTCGGCTCCTTTTGCATGCCCAGTGCAGACAGCTACGAGGAGCTGCAGACACCACGAAATACTTGTCTGATAGAAATCAGCTGGGTTTCACTCTGTGTTGCAGAGCCTTCACACAGAGGAAAAAACAACAACAACAAAAAAACCCTGCAGCCTGAAATGCTGCTTTTCTTTTTCCCAGTACTTTTTGCCCTTGGGGAGAGGAGCTTGACTGTGTTCATTAACAAGGCGAGGCTAATAAATTTGATTAAGCTAAGCTGTTTCTTTAAGAAAACTTCAAGCTGCACAGCTGTCTGCAGGCAGAGAGGCACAGCACATCTGACCACTAAGCCCTCCCAGCGTCTTATCTAGGGCCAGGGAACAGATACAAGAAAAATTTCCCCATGAAAATAAACACAACTGCTAGAGGCATAGCATTTGTTTGCAGTTTTAGTCATTTTTTTTTGTACAAAAAAAAAAAAAAAAAAAAAAAGCTAGAAAAATGTTTTGTTTTGTTCTGTTTTGTTTTTTCTCCTGTTGTATGGACTCTTTAGGAAAAGGCTGATACTGAAATGCGGTTGTGGGGAGGCAGTGCAGTGGGGGGGGGGGGTGCAGCCGCGTTTCCGTACCATGCTGCTCTTGCCTTGGTGCTCAGACGGCTGTCACCCTGCTGATAGACACATCTCTCTTGCTTTTGTCTTGAGATGCAGTGGTTCAGTGCATGGTTTGGCCAAAACTGGGGAAAAGTACCTGGGTGGGGGACGGATGTACGTGTGGCAAAGCCTGAAAGTTTTCTACCATTATACATCGCTTCCTGTTTTGGAGGAGGAGGGAGTCACTTATTTCAATGGTCATAAAGTAAACTGGAATATAAGGCACATATGGGGGCAATTTAAAGCCCTTGTGTGGTGAGGAGCTTTGAGGCTGTCACCAGTGCAGCCAGACAGAGCCAAGCCCCGTGACGTGATGTTAGCACTACCACCCTGCTGGAGTTGCACAAACTGGGATGGGTGGCACAAGGAACTGCCAGGAGCTGCTGGCTTTGCCAGGAAGAGAGAGGAAGGAGATGGAGAGGGAGATGAGTGCAAGGTCCAGTCCCAGCTGTGCTGATGGCCATGCAGCAGCTGGCAGTGGTGTGTGCTTGTGGGTCTGTGCGTGCCCCTGATGTGTGGCATGGGGAGGACTGTGCTGGGAAAGTGTCTGCTGCTCCAATAGCAATTCAGTGCACCAAGTCCTGTAATAGAGGGGCCTTTGGTCCTGCTCCTTAGTAGTCATTCAATAAATAACTCTAATAGCCATAGCTAAGCTGTTACACAGCGTCAGCTTACGTCTCCGCTCCTGCAGTAGCATAGAGGTGATGCAGACTTTGCTGCAGTACGATGGGCTCTTTAAAAGCAAGTCTGTACAAAAAAAAGTCTTTTAAGGAAGACTTTTTAGGTGCTGGTGAAAAAGGGCTGGTCTTGCAACTTCCTGGCTCCTTCCTGCCTTGGGCTGAGTGGCAGCATGGCCTTCTGCTTTGCTGCCTTAGGTTGGGACTTGAGGTTTCTGAGGTTGGGCTGAGTGCATCCTGCGAAACTTGTATTGCTTTTGATTTGGGGGTGGAGGGCCAGGATGTCTGCACTGTACTGTAATGCTGCACTCGCATCTCCGAGGTGAGAGTGAGCGTGGCCCCATGGTGGCTCAGCAGGCTGTCTGTCCTTTGCAGAGGGTTTCACCTTGGTGGGGGGCACAAACCCGTGTCTACAGGCCTTGCTCTGTGCCTGCCCTCTGATACCCCACTGATGGGCTGAGCCTCTTTTCAAAGTCACCATAAAGTGGCAGCAGTTTGGGCATCTCCTTGTAGCACAGCTGGAAGGACCGGAGACATCAGAGTTGGTCGCTAGATAGGCAGAGACGGCCTCTTGTCTAGCAAGAGCAGCTTGGGCTGAGCCGAGATCCACAGGTCCTCCTCATCCTTCTTCTTCTTCTTCTTCTTCTTCTTGTTCCTCTCGGCCTGCAGCTGCCCGTTGCTGCTGGGGCTGTCCCTCTTCGTGCTCTGTCTCCTCCAGTGGGAGAAGCAGCAGTGGCAGCAGATGAAGATGGACGCGATGAGGACGACAAAGGGCAGGCCCAACAGCACCGCGAGGCAGACGGTGTTGAAGACGCCCTCCTTGTGCTTGGTGCGAACAAGTTCCAAGATGGAATTAAAGAAAGAGCTAATCTTCTGCTCCATGCTGGCTCTCGGGCAGGATTCCTCTTTTATGGCTCCTCAGGATATGTTTGACTCCTGTGAGGAGCTAACAGGCTGCACGAGCTGCTCTGGATGGTGCCTGCAGAGACAAGAAATCACTCAGATCAGGTGCCTGCGCCCTCGGCGTGTTTTTCTTTTCCCAGAGCTGCCAGCACTGCCAAAGCCTCTGCAGGGCGAGAGGTCTGTGCCCACAGAGTCCAGCCAGGAATCGCTCTATGGAGGAGCATTCAGGTGGGTGAGAGCCTGCAGAACCCAAGCAGATCACCCACGGCTCAGCGTGGGACTCTGGTCCCGGGAAAGCAGCCTCATGCCCCCCAGGGGCTGTCTGCAGTGCCTGGGCTGAGAAGCCTCCATGACTCACCTGGGAATTGCTCCAAGGCTTGGGCAGGGCTGAGGAGCATTTTTGTGGCATGACGTGAGGTTTTCCTCCCCCTCAAGGAGGGAGAGGTGCTGCTGAGCCCCAGGTTTTTGGGGAAGCCCTCCTGCAGTAGAGGCGGCCAGGGTAAGGGAGCTGCTGCCTCTATTCCCAACCACCCTCTGTTCCTGCTCGAGGGCCAGGCAGAGCTCCTGGGGGTTTTAAGCCAAGAATTTGGAGGTCATTGAGTTAAGGATTGTATAGATGGAAAGTCAGCAGGAGCAACATCAGGCTCTGAGAGCAAGTTTCACCCTGATTTGGCATTTTACATCGGTGTCTCGTTGCTTTGCTTTTGCCTTTGGTAGTCCAGCCCCACAGTCTCTCAAGGGAGTATGGAAGCCCCTATTGTGCACCACAGGGGAAGCTGAGACACAGCAAAAGGAAAAGTAAGACTTTCTCAAGGCAGCAGCTCAGACATACAGCCAGACATACGCACAAAGGTGTCACAGAGGAGCTGCTTGCCTTCACTAATAGACCTAAGGTGAAGGGGAGAAACGCTAATCAGAGCATTTCTCTGGCACCTGAACTCCATTTGCTGTATCCACTGAATTGCTGGTTCTCCTCCTCTAGGGAGCAGTGGGAAGGGCCCCAAGCTGAAACCTCCATCTCTCCAGTGCTGCCCTTCCCTGCTCATGTATCGCTGCAGTGGTACCTGCTATCTCCAGATACCCCTGTATTAAGCATTTGGTTTCCTGCAACACTTTGTGTGCACGCACACCCAGCCTATCTCCTAACAACCACCAAAGCTATCTGATCCAAAAGAAAAACCATAAAAGCCCGACAGCCTGCAGCACAGCACCTGCGACCTGCCAAGAGGAAGCAGCACTGTGGTGGGCAGGTTCCAAAAGGCAGCTCAGAAGCAAAAATCCTGTCACTGCTCCACTGCCTACTTCATGCATGGTAAAAAAGGAATTAAAAAAGCCTTGTTCCCAGGAGGGGTAAGAAAAAGTCCCTGGGTGCTCGTGGTGCTTCCTGCTGCCCACTGCTTTGCAAGTAAAGGGCATGGAGGAGTGCAGAGAGCACTTCTTTGAGCTGTGCTTGTCCCAGATTTCCTCCTCTCTGAGACCATTTTTAGTGCAGATGTCGTAAGGTTAAATGGCCGTACAAATAAACAGAGCAGCTTTCCCTTGGCTTGAATCGTCTGCCTGAAGCAGGTTTGCCATTTATCCATGAATATCCTGACAGCCTGCTATCCAGGCAGGGACACTGGGATCCCAAGATGCACTTCATTCCAAAAAGCTTCTAAAGAAAGAAAAGAAAGAAAAGAAAAAAGCAAAAAAACCCAACCGCCTCAATTTCAGACAAAACAGGATGTTCAGTTTTACTCCTGCCCTAAGCCGCTTCATGTTTACTGCCTGTAAACTTCAGGGGAGGGAAGGAGGGCTGGGACTTCCTTTTAAGCTCATAATTAATTGTTTGCAGTGGGGGGAAAGAAAAAAAAAGGAGAGAGTCCTTTGAAATGTTTCCATTTGAAAATGGATCTGAATGTGGGGAAAAAGCCCTCACTGGCTGTTTAGTCTGCAGGGTGAGGCTGGCAGCTGGGACCCCTACCCTGCAGGGTGGGATAGCAGAACCAAGGGGTGATGCATCCTTGCAGGGCAAGCAGAGGCACGGCACCCAGCATGACAGCCAGGCTGCCTTGTAGCACTGCTGCTTTTCAAATGCCTTTTCTTTTTGGTGCGTGCATCGCCTTTTGTGTTGTGGATGAAGAGATGCCTGTGCGCTACATGAAGGGGTTCTTCTGTTACTAAATAAATAAATAGGAGAGGGGAGAGCAGGAAAACGGGTGCCTTGTTGAGCCTGAGAGTGCTGGGGTTAGCCGAGGCCACCCATTGCTAGCTCAGTGCCTGCCTTCCTGCACGCAGCCCTTCCTTCTCGCTGCTTTTTAGGAAAGTTTAGCGCTGCTGCCCCGTTTAATGCTGCAGCAGCAGCATCTCCCTCTGGAGAAGGATGGAGGGGCAGAGCCACAATCCAAGCTGTGATCCAGGATGGGTGTGAGCGTACACAGAGCTGCCGGTGGGAGGTCGTCGTGTTTCTGGGCCAAGAACCATCAACTGGGCCAGGAGGCACTTGGAGACAGGGCAGTGTCTGGGAGGGCTGCTCAGCGCCTGCTAAATGCGTTCTTTGTGCTGGGGAAGTGTTGGCAGCGCATCAGGAGGAGGCTGACAGGAGAACTGGCTCGGGAGGTCCGGCAGTAGGGTTTGGAGCTGACGTGTGTGCCTCTCCTGTTGGGGTTTTTGGAGGTGGGGACCTAGCTCCGCATCCTTTAATCCACCTCAGCTGGAAGCAAACTGGTTTTAAGGACGGAGCATCTCCTGTGTTACAGGGGAGGGGAAGCAAGCTGGGGGGCACAGGCTGGGCACAGGGAACCTAGCACAGGCAGCCTGGCTTGCCCACATCCGCGGCACAGCAACCACAGCTGTGCAAGGAACTGCAGGGCCTCTGCAGATGAGGTCAAGGGCTGGGAGTCACTGTGCACCAAGCCAAGGTGCAATGTGTCCCAGGTCCCCTGGAGCCCGTGAACTCCGTGACGCAGCCGGGTACGCATGCGGAACACCGCCGGTTTTCCCTGTTTGCACCTGCAGATTGGAAGGCAGCGGGGTGAAGCCATCGCAGACCTGGAAGTGGTGAGCAGCAGCAGCAGCAGCCCTGCCGTCATCCGCTTCAAACGCTGCAAAGCAAACGTGTGCCGAGAGCAGCCGCACGGACCAGAACTTCACCCCGTGCCCCCAAGGCGCACGGCTACGGCCCGGCATGAGCGCTCCCTACGCGGCTGCTGCTAACGGGGTTAAAGCGAAAGCACGGGCTGAGCTGCACGAAGCACAGCACGGACCTCGCCCGGCACTGTGCCACAGCGGCCACAAGACCCTCTCTATGCCCACACCATTGTCATCAAGAGCCCCGCGAGCGCGGCTCCACCTGGCTCAGCCCCGGAGCCCAGCTGCCAACCGAGGGAGTCGACAGCATCTCCTGCGTCCCTTGCGAGGTGGCAGCCGCGGTCACCCCAAAACCTCGCACCCCCATCCCGCACCTGGGCACCCCGCAGGGGGCTCCGCGTGCCGCCGGCCCGCACCTACCTCGTCCCGCCGAGCAGAGGGAATGGGCAGCCCGCCCCGCAGCCTCCGCCCCCGGCCCGGCCCCGGCGGGGCTCCCCCCGCTCCGCCCCGGTGCTGGCTGCGCTCCCAGGCCCTAGAGGAGGAGCTGAGGGGACGGGGCGGACGGCCCGAGGGGAGCCGGGCTCACAGCGCGGGGTTTGGGCACAGCGGGCAGGAACTGGAGAGAGCTGCCCTTAGACGGGACGGACTGCAGAGGAGGCGGCTTCCCTGCAGGGCGGTGCTCGGAGGGTTCGGTGCTTTCCAGACGTGATTCCTGCTCGGTTTCGAACGCCCCCACCCCTCCCACTTTAGGCTTTCCTTCCCGTTTCTCTTTTATCTGCTCACGAGGGATAACCTGGATCCGCCGTAGCCCCGTGCGCTGTGCTGGCGGCCGGGCGTGCTGTGACTGGAAGAGCGCACAGCTGGGGCTGTCCCGGCCACAGCAAGCGGGGCAAACCCCACGCCTGTTTGATCCTCCTTAACTAGAAGTGGCCATTTTTAGCGGCTTCAGGGCCAGCATAGCTGCAGGTGTTGGGCCATGGGCTCGTTGCCCTGTACTGTGGCTCAGTCCTTTTTTGTTGCTGGCTGACTTTGGCAGAAGCCTCACCAAGCAAGGAACTGCTGAGCCCCAGCCTTTGGGGCCCCACGTGCCCCTTTGCCCAGCTCTCAGGTTTTGCCAGTGAAGGTTTAGGTTGGATATTAGGAACAATTACTTCTCCAAAAGAGCAGTGATGCAGTGGCACAGCCGCCCAGGGAGGCGGTGGGTCACTGTCCCTGGAGGTGTTACAGACCCATAGAGAAGTGGCACTGAGGGATGTGGTTAGTGAGCAGTATTGGAGGCAGGTTGGACTCAATGGTCTTTTGAGGTCTTTTCCAACCTGAATGGTTCTGTAACTTACAAGGATATCTGAATACCTCATATCCTCTTTCCAGTGGTGGTCTGGAACAGATGCATTACAAGAACACAAATCCCTCCTAACTGATGGGGCAAGGAGCCCCACAGCTCAGCTATGTGTGGTGTTAAAAAAAAAAAAACAAAATAACAACAACAACAAAAAAAACAGCCAAATTTTGGGGGTTTGAACCTGTCACCTGTTAGTTTCATTCAGCCTCCCCACTTCCCTATCAGTGAGGCCGCTCTTACTCAGCAAGCACGAGTGCTGGGGATGGGAACAAAGATGCAGTGACCATGCTGAGGGGATGTGATGGAGCTGGTGACGATGGCTGGCTCTGCCCTTGGGCAAGATGTGGCCACTGCTGCTCGTACTGAACTCTCTGGGTGCTTTGTTTTCCAGAAGTAGCACCAAGTCAGAGGAAGCTGTGACTCAGAGGCCGATGAATCACTCCTGCTCTGGATTACACGGCTTTTTTCCTCTTTCTGGGCCTCCAGCACGGACTGAGGAGCCCAATGTCTCATTGGTAAGAATCCTTTTAAAGCTGGAATGAGACCTGAACATTTGGGAAACACTGCAATGACTGGTGGTGAAAACGCTGCTGTAACACATCGGTGCTCCACGAGCAGGGCTCTGCATCCCACGGGACCCATAGGATCCGCCAGCACATGGCCTATTTTTAACCCAAAACACGCATTCCCCCAGGATATTGTGTTTTCAACCCACATCCGTGCACCCTCACCCTCCTCGCAGCCTCATTACAGCAAAATTCCCCAATTTCCCCCCTCCAACACAGAGCAGAACTGCTGCTCACGGGCACACCTTCCCCTCTGCTCTGTTTGCACACTGTGGCGCAGCTCAAAGTAAGCAATGGAAAACTCTGCTTGCAGGGAAACATTCCTCTCATTTTTCCCCGATGCTTCTGCCTTTTCCCTCCTTCTCCCCCTCCCAGCAAAAAGAAAGGAGAAAAAAAAAAAAAAAAAAGGAAAAGGAGGCTGCAGTTTAAATGCTAAAAATAAAGCTGCCCAGTCGCTTGCTGGATAAAAATAGCGGCCCCTGGTATTTATTTGAGCAGCAGCAGTCGCCTTTCCGGCTTTGGAGCAGAGCTCAGGAGGAGGATGGGGAGGGCGATGCTTGAGGCCAGGTGGTGGGCACAGAAGCTGCATTGGGTTTGGCTTGAAGTCAGGCCTTCCTCCACCTGGGGCAGTTCTCCAGGGGCAGGACAGGCCCCAGTGCACTGGGTTCCATCTGTCTGCCAGGGAGCTGTGCCCCCACAAGTGCCTGTGGCTCCCGCACCCACAGCGATGTGGATGCTGCTCCTGTGCTGTGCGGGGCTGTCAGGCTAAACACCCCCTGTTAAAAGGAGGATTTGTTTGGGACATTCCAAACAATTGGTGGTTGCTGTGTGTGTGTGAGCAGGAGCTCCTTCCTGAGGAAATCCCATGGCAGCAGGAGGTGGGGAGAGCGGAACTGCCTGCAGGAGCTGTATGGGGAGCAGCCTGAGGATGAGGTGGTGCCCTGGCATGGAGATTGGGCAGTGGGGTAACGCTCCCCCAGCACCATAATGGGCTGGACCTCAAGGCTGGACTTCTTGGGAATGTCAACCACATGCTCGGGGATGAAAAACGCTGGGATGTGGGCCTTCCTACCCGAGGGCTGTATCTGACCTGGTTTGCTGTCTGTTGGGATTGCTCACTGCAAAGCAGAGTCCCAGGGGTTAATGGCTTGGAGCGGAGGTGTGATTGGGCTGCTTGGATTCTGTTGTGTTGTTGTTTTTTTTTTAATCTCATGCTGCTCTGAACACCTGGTTTCTGCCTGATGAGAGCTGCCAAGATGGTTTTTTTTTTGGGTAGGAATGTGCTTGTAATGATGGGAGCAGGGCACAGTCCTCTGCATTGCGCTCCATCCCTCTGCTGCCGCTGAGCATCGGGCACCCCTCAGTGTCAGCACCCCAAACCTGAGCCGAGCAGAGCAGCAGCAGGGCAGGGCAATGCCATTCCTTTAACAAATAGCAGACACCATTTTTCTTTCTTTTTTTTTTTAATAAATATTTTTTTAATCTCACATTCAGCACAAAGCCTCGTTGTGAGCAGCGTAAGACCTCAGTGTTTGGGGCCCGATGCTGCCCCACGGCTCTGCTCTATGGGGACTGTGCAGCTGGGGCAGGGGGGAAATGAAAGCAAGATGCAAATCGTTGGAGGGGAGAGAGGACAAACAACCAGAGGCCTTTCTCCTGTGGGTGTTTTACCTCTCCCTGACCCCCTCAAGGGACAACAGGTGCCTTTCTTTGGTGATGCTCAAAGCTTTGCATGGTGCTAGGATCAGTGGGCAGGCAGGAGGATGCAGCTTCAATATTTCTGCCTTGATTACCATGTATATCCCCTATGCTTTTATCAAGAGAAACTGCTGGAATGAATTGGAAATGGCAGAGTGTGTATGTATAGGTGGGAAAGGGAACAGCCCATGGGCTGCCCTCACCTCTCTCCCAATCCCACAGAGAGGATAATGGATCAATGAAAATTAAAAGCCCTACATTTGGATTTGATTAAAAGAGAGATTTTTTTTAATGCCCTGCATAATGATGTGGTAGCGCTTGTAGCTATGGGAGTTGGAGAGATAAAAAGGGGAATGAGGGTTTTAAATGGATGATGAGCACATTCAGGCTTACGAGGGGGAATAAAAACCAAGAAACAAACATTAGAAACAGGGCTGTAAGGAAATATCACGTTCTACAAGGCATCAAACATGGGAGGTGAGCAGCCCAAGCTCAGGAAACTTAGCACTTTCTCTGCAGGGCACTGGGTGCTTTCCCAGCCCTCTAAGCTGGAAAGCAGAGAAGGGGGGATGGCAGTGGGGGTTTGGGATGGGGGGGTTACAGCTGCTGTTGCTCAAGTGCCAGGCTTGGAGTCAATGCTTACAGACTGGCCAAGAACCCTTGTGTGCCCTCCTGATGTTTGCTGGTGGGACAAAGTTCCCAAGCATCACTCATGCAAGAAGGGGACTTTGGTAAGAGGGCTCTGATGAAATATTTGGGTACAAAGTGCAGATGGGGTGGCGGGCAGCACAGTGCTTGGCTGGAGCTTGGCCCCAGGAGGAAAGGGGCTGCTGTGCAAAGCCCAGGCATTATGCTTCTTGGAGAGGCTGGGAATGGGAATGGTACATCTTACCATGTGTGACCCCATCTGGAATGTGCTGGACTTACTTAGTATCATCACTGCATGCAATAAGTGCATGTGCCATGCAAAAAATGTGCTGTGCAGAGGTTGTAGGGTGATGGGCTGGGTGGGCACTGGTGGTAGGTGATGAGGTTGGTGTGGTGGGGTTCAGGACTGCCCTGGCCTGAAGGAGGAGTATAGGGAATTTGGGAAAGGGCTTGTGGCAGCCTGGCCCCCTCCTTATCCAGTCTGAAATGTGTTGGAGAGCAGTGGCCTCACTTAGGGGTCATACAGGGCACCCACCAGGTTGGGTTGCTGAGATGCAAAGCACAGTCAGCTTTAGCAGCACAGGTGGTGGGACACCTCTGGGTGTTACCCACAGTGATCACTGCTGCCCAGATGGGCACCACGATGGAGACTGAGATGTCCTCTACCTCCTACATCTCCAGAAGACTTTGTGATCCTTGGTGCAAATTGGAGCTGAGGTTTTTCATTGGCACAGGATTCATTTGGTGCCAATGGCTGAGCTCCAGGCTTTGCTTTTCCTCTCCCCACAGCAGTGGGGCTGCAGATGTACCCCGTGCTCTGCAGTTCCCTTTTTTCTCTCCAATTGGAGTAAGAAACAGGAGCACAGAAAGCACCGCAAAGCAAATTCCCCTGGTTTTGTCTCCCTGGAATTAAATTTAGCAGTCTGGCAGAAGTTCTGCCAGTTGTTTGGGGTTTTCTCATTCTGGTTGGCTGCACGGTGAACATGAAAATTTAAGATGTGAGATCTAAATAAAGCCTGCACGTGGAATGAAGGGAGGCTTCCCGTACTCTCTGAGATTCACACTTGTCCTGGAGGTTTTGCTAAAATCATGCTGTGTTTTGTTTTACCAGGAGCACGTTCTGCCAGGAAGGTGCTGGTGGAGGAAGGGTACCTTGCAATGGGGCTTCAGCCCTCGAGTCACACAATTGTGGAACCATTCAGGTTGGAGAAGACCTCTCAGATCCCTAGTCCAACCCCAACCCACCACACCATGCCCACATCCCTCAGTGCTACATGTTCGTGGTTCACAACACCTCCAGGGATGGTGACCCTGCCACTCCCAGGGCAGCCTGTGCCACTGCATCACCACTTCTTTGGATGAGTTTTTCCTAATATCCAACCTGAACCTTCCCTGGAACAATAGAAGGCCATCACCTCTCATTCCTCCCCTTTTGTTGTTTCTTCCCAGAGAGGCACACAGCTCACTCGTTTGGTATCTTTTATTAATGTATAGAAAATGCATTAAAAAAAGGAACTATACATAGCCTAAGAGCGGTCAAGACTAAAAATACTAGTTAACAATGGTTAACAAGCGTCGATCCCATTCTCCCAGCTACGTTTTCATTATGGGGTGGGGGAGGGTTGTTTAATATATTATTTATTTATATTATTTATTTTCTCTCTTTATGCATTTATCTGCTTTCATCTTCCCCTCATTTGGCTGCACTGGTCTGCGTTTGGTTCATCAAAATCTTTCCAAAGGGTTTCGTTGCCTCTGTTCTTCCGTTGCCTTTCTGTGTTGTTTAGTTTTTAGTTTCTGAAGGAGTAAACACAATTGCAGTGTAACACCTGTACATGAGGCTCTGCTTTTTGCTTGGTTGGTTCTATCCCCATGTCACCATCCCTCTGTCAAACCTCTGACACCTGTATAGCTCTGAGCTGGGCAGGGACATGCCACTCATCCGTGTGGGCTTGCTTGGGTTTGGTGACCCAACTACAGGTGGTTGGTTGGTAGAAATGGGGCTGGGCTTGGTCCTGGGGCAGAGCCTTTGGTTGGGGAGGGGGGTATAAGCATGGATTAAAGTTTTTGGGGGCGAGAACTTTTTGCTGGCAGTATCTGACAGGGTGAAGGCTACTGAGTGCTGCTTGGAGGTGTGTGGTCATCCCAGGGTGTGGTGTGCTGGGGTCTGGAAAAGGGAACCCGGCTGGTGTGGAGATGAGATGCTGGGTGGGTGCTGGGGCTCCTGCTGCTCTTCTGCAGGCTGCCTGAACCTCTGCCTCACATGGTGTGAATATTGCTTTGGGAAAGAGCTGAGAGCGCATTTAGACTTGTACTGCGCTTTGTGATGCCCACAGTAAAGCAGCACAAAGAGGAGGAGCAGAGGTGAAGGCTCTGATGCTCTTGAAGCATCCTCCTGCCAAAACCCCGCTATCTTTGGGGAAGCCCCCACTCCATTATTCCTCCATAAATGCTGCCCTAAGTGTCACTTCACTGAATGCAGCTCTTCCTTTCAGGCCTTCTTGTCTTTGGTCATGCAGTAAAGCAGCGTGTGGTGGAAAGGTGGACGTCAGGTGGGAACAGAAACAGAGGGATAACCGCATTGGGAAAGAGGTGAGAGGGTCCCTTGGTGTTTCCTTCTGGTGTTTAGGGTTCAGAAACAAGAGGCGGCTTTGGAAGGCTGTGGAGGTGCTGGAGCATGTGGTCTTCTGCAGGGTGAAGGGCTGACATGCTGCTGGTGCTGTGGGCTTTGGGATGTGACAGCAGCAGGGCAAAGGGGCCCTGACCCATCAGGATGGTGGTGGAAGGAAGCAGAGCTGGTGACGTTGAAAGGAGAATTGGGAAGAAGCCAGGTTTTCTGGCTTGTAACAACCCTTTTGTTTTCCTGAAAGAACTTGTTTTGTTTCACTGAAAGATTGAATATTGTCCCCAGGGGTGTCCTTCAGACTTGGCGACAGAGCTGTGTTGGCCAGACCCTCCTGTCCCAGCTGCAGGACCACAGGATGATGGATGTGAGCAGAGAGGGAGGGACGCATATCAGGACATCCACTGTGAGAATAACCAGCCTCTTTGAGGATCTTCTTTTGAGCCTCCTGGAAAAGCAAGGCAGGTTTTGATTTTCTGTTTGTTTTGTGCTTATGAAAACAATTTTCTTGCCTTCCCCTTGATAGCCAGTGTTGAGTTACCATTTTTTTTTTTCACTGCCATCTCTTTGTTACACCTGGGTGGAAAAGCAAACAGCTCAGTCCTGAACAGGAGATGAACACCATCCACCACTAACCTCTGTTCCTAGCTGTAACTGCTGTACTATGGCACTTTATTTAGGGTTACTTCTTACCTGTAAACTCTTGGTTATGGGGAAAATGTTACTGTGTTGGTGTAGCAGGAGGCCTCTTCAGTTTTAATCAGTCCTGTCTGCTGCTTTTTGGGATCTTTAATGGGGCAAGCTGCTCAGGTGGACTGAGATATTGCCATCAGTGACGCTGCAGAGATCTCAACACGTGCAGCCTCCTGCCTGGCTTGTGCCCCAGCTGCTGGACTCAGCACCAAGCAGTACTTGGTGAGTACTGATTAAAATCTGATTTGTGACAGCAGGCTGTGAGCTGCCCACCTTGGGGCAGGAACCCATGTCTAATCCTGACCTCGGGGCCAGCTGAGGTTGTGTGCCCAGCATGGACAAAGGGGCTGGATTCCTGCTTAATGCCCTCCTTCAGCTCCGCAGGGTGATGAGTAACGTCAGCAAATCAAGGAGCATGACCATGAAAGAGACACTGGCCTGAATTATAAGCTACTGTAAAGATGCCTTTATGTTGCCATCTGGAAGATGTTTCCTGAGACAAAGCAGCTTCAGTGTGATAAAATCAAAAAGCAATGTTTAGCCTTTGTAATTCTGCCTCAGCTGTGCATCCAGCGATGGGCTGCATTGTCCTGGGACACATGGATGACAAAGCACTGCATTGAGCAGAGCCTCTGTGGAGTGATGGGTCTGTGGTGATGGCCACTGGGGCTCTGTGCAGGTGGCAGCAATGGCAGCAGAGCACAACAAAGTCTACCTGAGGTGTCCGTTTTCCGTAAGATAAGAGAAATTAAGAATGGGAAGAGTGAATGCGTCTGTTCTTTCAAGGATCTACAGGTGCTCCAAAATCTAAATGGGCCATGCCTTCTTTTGAGGAGGGAAGTAGTTGATTTTCCATCAGAAAGATGGTGATACCAAGGCACTGAGATTTGGGTCCCTCTTATGATGGAAGCATGGAGGGATAGAGAGAAAGCAACAAGCCTTTCTCAGCATGCACTTGTCTTCCCTTGGCTGTGCTGTCATCATCCCCTGCTGCATGCGGGTCCCTGAACATGGCATGACACAATTGCTGGCTTCAGGCTGAGCTCTGGCTGTGTGATGGCTTTTTTGGTTGCTGGTCCTTCACTGTGGCTCTTTGGTTTGGGACCAGCGACCGCTGTGAATGACATCATGGTGGCATAAAGAAGTAGCAGAAGAAACGGACCCTAATGATGACTTCAAGACTGAAAGAATTGATCTTCTTTTTAACTCAGTCTATCATCTTCTCTTTTCTTCTTTTTCTCTCAAGCTCAGTAACCCAAACACATTGCCATGGGCTTGAAGTGTGACAGCTTGCTTATTGAAGGATGGTGTCTATAGGGACTCAGGGCCTCCCTGCTGAGAAAAGACAGAGATGGGGAGGAGGCCAGGTGTCCCTGGCTGTGCCTTGGGGTAGAAATGATGGCACGAGGGTCCCCTTCTGGGAAGGCTTCTGCCACCAGCCCTGTGACAAAAGTGTCGGACAGGGTTTGCTGGGGATTTCTAGGTCTTTTAACAAAAATATCAAAAAATCTCTCTGTCTCTTTCTCTTTCTTTTCATGTTAAGGGCCAGAGTATGGGGTTAGGGAGACTGGAAATTTGGTATTTCTCTGGGACAAATGCAAAGCAATGAGGTCTTTCTTTCCCCACAGCCTTTGCTTGTGCTGTGGTTCCCTCCAGGATTTGTGAGGGGTAGGTTGCTATCTCAGAGGAGGAGTATTTTTTTTTCCCCTTTTCATATTATAAAATACAAACAAATGACAGAAAAGGTCAGGTGGTGGGAAGGGAGTTCTGCTGGCTCAGAGCTGTAGGGACCGTCGCTTCCTCCCAGAGATGTTACGGTGGTTGTAAGGTCGCATCTTCATTTCCACAAAGGGGATGGAGAACTCGTGGCCTTTCCAATGGTACCAGTTAATTCCCTGGAAGGAGGAAGAAGTAAAGGGTAAAAGCTTAGGATTTGGGGTAAAGAAAGGCATACACACACACAAAATGAAAGCGTGAGAGGAAGGAAACGAGCTTGGTTGCATAGAGAAACCAGAGGAAAACCCTGCTACAGGAAGAGCAAGAAACTCTTCTGCTGCACTGGCTTGCTTGTTTTTCATTTTTTTCCCACTGCCCAAAGGCTCCAAATGAGATCTGATGGATATATTCTGTAGTGTGACCTAAAATAATGCCATGGCAAATGACCAAGGCAGCCAATGTAAGCGACCCCAGTGCCTCATCCGTGCAGCCCAAGCCTGAAGAAATGCTGAAGGGTCTCAGCCCAGCTCTGCCCTTACCTGACTGTGCCTGGACTCTCCGTACTTGCCGTTGAGGTTGGTCCGGTGGCAGTTCTTATACCACCAAGCCCCCTTGTAGGACATGGCACAGTTGGTCACGGCCACATCGTTGTCCCTGTCCTTGGTGGAGAAGGGACGGCCCTGGTGGTAGGTGAGGGAGTCCCCTGTGGAAAGAGATGCTGTTAAGGGGGATGGACCAACAAGCCTGCTTCTGGCTTGTGTGCCTCAACGCCATCTGGTCTTTCACGAGGAAATTCTGGTGTGTGTGGTAGCCTGTCAGTCAACAGCTCAAAGAGCTGAAGGGTGGTGGGATGGTGTGGGAATAGTGTTAATTGGGATTGCTCATGGTGGATTAATCTGAGGTCCTCTGCTGTTGGTTTTGGGTCAGTACAGACCGTAGGAAATCTTAGGGTTTGGAAGATAAAGTAGCAGTCTGTCGTATCTGAATTTCAGTGTTTCAGAAGTGAGCTATAGCCCTTATTTCTTGGAGCCTGGATCTGCTGCATACCTTCAGGAATTTCCCTCCCTCCTTCCCTTTTGCTAACCAAAGGGACCTTCCCATTCTAGAGGAAACTAAGCATGTTTTTCTTCAACCAAAATGCTTGCCCTTCTTTTCTCCCTCTGGATAAGAGGAATAAGACATGTTATGTCTTATCCAGCAAACTCCCCAGCCTGCTCTCCCCTCCCTACTAAGGGAGGAGAAACTCACTTTGGAGGAAAGAAGAGTGCTGCACAAATGCAGCTGCAGAAATGGAAGGCAGAAAACTATACAGTCTAGGACTGCTTTTCTTCCCAAACTGTGCATTGGTTGCTTTAACTAGTATTGAAACACACAAGGGTGTTCATGGAAGCTTGCAGTCACTGGACACTTCTACCCCAGCTGGAGGGGCTGTAGTTGTACCCCTATCCCCTTCTTGGAGTAGAGACCCCCATGTTCTCCTTCCTTCCTTACACGGGGGGCAAAGCTCAATGCTGCTGTGTCAGCTGAACCAACAGGTGTCCCTGTGTCCTTACGAAAGTGGCTACCTTTGGTTCTGTACGGGACAAAGTTCTGCAGAGGATTTCAGATTTTTCCATTGCTGTAGGAGAGTGATAAACACACCCTGCAGCACAGCATCAATAGCGAGCTGTGGTGCTGTTCACTGAGATGACACCTCTGGTGGTTGACCTGATTATCTGAACAGCAACGACTCTGATATTTATTATCCCTGATGGAAAATGCTCTCGGTCCCTAGTGAAATTTACCAGCCTGCTTTGCACAGTGAACTGCAGGAAGACAGAAAGGGCTACTGGCTTGCATCTTGTCACTCCAGAAATGCAAGCTTTGATACTGAGATTTCCTTTACAGCTTCAGACTGACCGGTCCCAGCATTTCTCTACTGCACCCGAGATACCAGCTAGCCCTGAAACTGTACCAGAAGTGCCATTGTAGTCTCCTATCCGGAGCTTGTAGAGGCTGCGGGAGTCACCGATGGAGAATTTGTCATAGTAAGCATATGCTGCTTCCTGGCCATCCCTCATGTCTATGCGCAGCTCGTAGCGTCCCTGCGATGTGATCTTGTGGATGTTGTCCAAGCCTGGGGACACAAGCAACAAGACACCCGGTGAGATGCAGCACCTGGATCTGCTGTGTCAGCCAACCAGAAAGCTCTGGGCAAGTAAAGTGTTTCTGGGTAATGAAAGCAAGACGAGGCAGTAGAGGGCAGCTTGTGGTTAAGCCTTATCTCTGCTGACACTGATGAGGTCTAAGCTCTCTGTTTCCACTCAAGCTTCACCTCCCCATGGCTCTGAGAGGTGAGTTTGAGTCCCAGTCTCACGTTCTGAGCATCGCCAAAGCAGGGAGTGATAATCTGTGGAGCTCTGGTTCTTCCCATGTTGCACACCCATCATTCAGTTAAGCTGTTTATGAGTCAGAACATACTGCGGGGCTAGCATTGGTTCACACTTGGAGAATGCTCTATTTCAGAGCTTTGATAGGTCTACCATCACCTCTTTCCTGCTTTGGGCAACTGGCTTGCTGGCTAAGGCCGGTAGAGGTCCTTAAGAAGTTGTGCTGTTAACTGTGTTATTCACCAACACTTTTAGTCATCCAAGAGAAGATGCTGGTCCATGAATGTCCCCAGCCTGGGAGCAGCAAACTTTTGTATCACCCAGAAGTGTGAATTTCAAATGCAAAGGGCAGGGAATGAACAAGGGAAGGAAAACAGCCTGGAGAGATTGCAGAGGAGAGGAGCTCAGGTTTGACACTTCGGTGTAAGACCAATGATGAAGGTCTTACCCAGCCAAAACTCATCCTCCAAGTTCCCAAAGCCGACCCGGTAATCTGCCCATTTTCGGAAGAAGTCAGTCAGCCCATTCTGCCGCCTTTGGAAGACCTGCAGTGGGGGAAATCAAGGGAAGCTCTGTGAGAAGTGGCTTTAGAATGCACGGCCAGGAGGATACTCTGCCCTGTCATAGTGCCTTTCAGTGGAGAAAATGGCAATGACCATTTGGTTAACGTTAATTGCAGCCATGCCATTTGTTCAGGTGTGGATGGATCAGCTGAATACAAGTTAAAAGATGTGGGCAGCAATGTTACAATAGACCTAGGAGGAAATATTCATCCTTCAGACTTCATGCTGTACCCAGTGTGTGGTTTCTCCGGTTTTCTAGCACATGATTCTGTGTTTGCTCGGCTCTTTTGTGATACCCAATGGGATGCTTTGAAGCAGAGTAGGATGGAGGAAAAATTCTTGGCTGAAAATATAGCTCTTCTAGAACTCAGCATTTAGAGAAAACCATTTTTTTTTTTTTCCCCTTCTTGTTTGGGCTATACATCTATTGGAGTTTTATATAATACATGCAGTGAGTATTTGAGACAAAAACAATCCAAGTGCCGAAGTATTGTTTCCTTCAGTGGCCAGTACATCTAAGTAAAGACAAGTGGTGATGGTGCATTTCAAAAGCAAAACAGGGATCTGCCTCTAAAATGCTCCAGTGCCTCTAAAATGCTCAATCTGGGTGATGCCTGACACCCTCCTATTACAGGCAGTGTGAATCATTTCCTATGAAAGCTAGTAGACATTAATTTCATTTCTAGAACAATAAATCAGCTTCAAATTTACTTGCAGATTTTTTCTCTGCAAAAGCACTGCAAACACGTCAAATAAATCAAAGGCCATTTTGCCAAGTGTAACTATTATTAGTGGAGTGTGGGCCATTCCCTGTGGTGTGGGAAATGAAGCGAGCAATATTAAGCTGGCGTGGAGCTTGGTTTTGCTGACAGGATGGGATGGGGTTCCTTAGTGATGGGGACAACGTGCAAGAAGACTGCCATTGGGTAAGCTGGGCAGGGAGTTGCGTGGCTCAGGGTGTTGCTGTCCCCCTTGGAGAGGGCCTCAATGCTATAGGGCTGCTCCGGGAGCTTTGTTGGGGCCAGGGGGTGCCACAGCAACTCACAATCCAGCCCCCGCCGTCCGTGCTCATGTCACAGAACACCTGCACCCGCTGGCTGAGGTCCCCGTTGATGGAGATGGTGTAGACACCGCTCAGCGTGTCTCCGTTCATCAAGTGCTGGGCACAGTCCTGAGGGTTGGCAAAGACACGGCCACCTACAAAAGAAAAAAAAAAAGATCAAAATTTGGGCAGGCAAACAACTTTTCACTGTGCCTCGTGCCTTGATGGTTACAGTCCAACAAGGATCTAGCTTTGTTTGTATGTCCTGAGTTCTGCAAGGCAGAGGTGACTGTGCATCCGTTGACAGCATCTTAGAATGCAATGGAGTAAATCTGTGCACACATTAATGGATTTCCACACATCCTACATTGGAAAGATGCGTGGTTAACATTGTGGTGAGTGATGAGGAATGTCACACCTTTGGTCGTCTTCCATTTCTGAAACCCTGGGGTTTAAGCTGTCACTGGCATATTTGGACAGCTGTGAAAATGCCAAAAACTGTTCTCCTCTTAGGATTGCCAACTCTAAATAGGTTTTATAACTTTACTGTTTCCAGGGGAGTTCTTCTGATCCATATCCTTGTGAATGACGTCAGACTTGCAGTGGGCTGATGGTTGAGCAAATAGAGCAGGAACTGGGTCATAGGAAATGTTGGAGATGAGCAGGGTGAGGCCTGTGGCTGTGCTCCATGTGTCCTACAATGAAGACACCTCATTTGGAGGCTGGAGTTGTAGAGAGCCCTAACTGTGAGATCTCGGCAGGACGGGGTTCATGTTCTTTCTCATTTAGTGGAAGAGAGAATTGCATTTTTTCCCCCCATTGCTCAAATGACTGAGTTCAAAGCAGGCAAGGCGCACGTTGGCTTTCAAGAGTGGTTTGAACGAAGACCTTGAGAGAGTGTGAAGGACGTGCCGTATTCATCTATCCCTACTGCACAGCCCCATAGGAGTGGCAGGACAGAGAGTTCTCCCATTGTTTCCTTTTGACCTGAAGACCCCAAATTGTCAAGTTGTCACTTTTTACAAATATTGAAGATCCCCTACTTCTTCCTCTCCCTGCAGAGCATAGCACCAGTTCTGGTGAGACAGTGTTCACATTTTATAGCATTCAACAATGTAAATTACTTCAAAGGCATCCACTCCAGGCTCCCCTGGGCTCTGTGCAGATTAGTTGTTTCTTAATTCATATTCATATCTTAAAGAACCAAGCAGACCTTGAAAGACATTTCAAACCACTATAAATTATAAATACCGTATCTGTTTCTTCCTTTTGTCCCATCTGTATACAACTCCCTAAGAACGTTATGCAAACATGAAACAAAGAGATGGAGCTATTAATATGTCAGAGGGAACGGAAGAACCCTGGGATGTGTACTGAGAGCATAAAGAAGCAAAACATTTTAAATTAAGACTTTTTTTTTTTTCTTCCTTTTCTTTCTCCTTTAGGTAGGGTAGGTTGGGAGAAATGTTTCCTGCTAATGCCTACCTTGAAGCGAGTTAAACTTCTGTTGAGATGCTGTATCAGCTGGCACTGGTGTTAAATGCAGTCAAGGAGCCACATTTTTATTTAATTGAAGTGATGCTCTCATTGCCTGGTGTGAGTTGGTTTTCCCTGCATTCTCCTCTCTGAGAAGCCAGCTATGAGATGCTTTGTCCCTGACTCCTGAGCAGCCTTGAAGATTACACACGTTTTTCCATCACCTGCTGGAATTGCACTGACATAATGCATCCACATAAGAGATGAGAAAAACTAGAGTACCTCATCTATTAAAAAAAAAAAAAAGCCTTTTTCCGTTGGTGTAAATAGTTTCTGTTATCTCTTGAAAGCAGGTGAAGGGACTTTTGCATTTAACCAGGATGGGGAAGTGTATCCACAGCAAACTCAAAGAAAACTCTGTGCATTGAATTGGCAGTGCAGGTGGAGGGGATTTCTTTTCAGGAACATGAGCATCATCTTCGCCTGGCCTACCAGGTGTGGGTCCTCACCTGTGGTGAAGGTGGTGGAGATGAAGCTGCTCCGCACGGCGTTTTGGGCAGCCTGCAGGCGCACTGTGTACTCGGTGGTCTCAGAAAGACCCTCCAGGCGGATCCACGTGTCCTCAGCATCCACAATCAGCTCCTGTACGTGGGTATACACCAAGAGGGTAGACAACAGATGAGAAAAATGATGGGAGCCTAAAGAGCAAGTGAGGAGGGAAGGGAAGCCACAACTACTGCAGCTCGTGGCTGAGGGTGCTGCATGGCTGCTTACAGTTCTGGGCTAAGTCAGCGTGAGGTCCAGCTTTGGGATGGTGCAGTTGAGAGCTCACTGCTTTGGACACCGGAGGCTTAAATGCAGTCTGTGTGCTCTATTTACTGACACTACTAGGATCTGCACACATTCAGAGTGGGGCATGACAGATTTCCTGAGCATTGCAAGGAGCAGGACTGGCCAAGCCTGGTTATCAGCCAGCTTTGGCTCCATCAATCCCTGTCATGTTAATTTTTCTGGTCATCAGCCAATGCCACAGAGCATTATATTGAACACCTCTGCAAAGCTGTTATCCTCCGGCTGCTGCAAGCTACCTGCACCAGGAAATGAGATGATTTGCAGTGACATACTTCTGATAGTGTTTGTAGCATTTCCTCCAGACAGACAGATATGGATACACTCGTTAAATAATCAAATATATTGTACTGAGGGATTTATTAGCTGTCTGTACCTACCTTCCTCTTTGCAGGGAGGGCAAATCACCTTTCTAACATCTCTACTTGCTGAAAATTTTTCTCCTGCCTCAACTTGCTTGTGTATCACGAGTTGTGAATTTTGTCTGTTCCCTCAGACTTCCCCAGGCATACCCTCTTTGCCCAAACTTGCAGATTTTGCCCTAGGCAATCCTTTTCTGCTTTTCCCAATTGATTGTCTAAGGTAAGCTTACTGGAGAGTGTAACATGCCCTTGTGGTCTCCCTGGCCTAATGAGTATCATTCTATTGGTTTTATGGGTTTCTCCATGGTTGCTCGTTCCTCCATGGTTGAGTTATCCCTGGACTCAATGAGCCTCTTTTCCCATGAGGACTCACCTTGCGACTTCCATCAGTTGATCTGTAGGTCAGGACGTAGTTCTCGATGTCTCCCACGGGAGGCACCCAGGAGAGCAGTGCACTCCGTCGGGTGACCTCGCTTGCAGTCAGGTTTGTTGGAGGATCCAAAACTGCAGGTTGGATAGGCACAAGGGAAGGCCATGTCCTCACACACAACCATCCCACCTTCTCTAAGCTGCTCCCTGACTAGCTGGACTAGTATCCAACTCCACAGTCTTGTGCTGCAGCCCAAAGTCCATCCTCATCCCCAGTTTCCAGCTCTGATTACCTGTCCCCAGCCTTAAACAGAGCTATGCAAGCCCTCTAAGTGCCATTCAATGCATGCTCTCTGGAATGCATGTGGTATGGAGTCTATCACGCTCCTTGGAATCACAGAATCATGAGGTTTGAAGGGACCACTGGAGGTCATCTAGTCCAACCCCATGCTAAAGCAGGTTCCCTACAGTAGGTCACCCAGGAAAGTGTCCAGGAAGGTTTGAGTATCTCCAGAGAAGGAGACTCCACAACCCAATTTGGTGGCCCCTTCCAGAGCCAGATTATGGCTCTAGGAGAGAAGACCTGGTCAAGGATCTTCTCAGGAAATCGAATCCAAGGGGAGTCAGAGAAAGATGTCATTGGTTGTTGGAAGAGTGATAATGATGGTTAATGCATGCAGTAGTGGTAAACCTGTCCTCATGTTGTGCCTAGCATTGGTATTTGGGCGTCCTTTTAGCAAATGGCCACATCTACATGGATATGTTTGGAACAAGAGCTTAGCATCAGCCTTTCTGTCTTTTCCTGGGGTGGATGGCTGGTTAGGGGTGTGTAGGAGCGGGACTGTACGTACGGGTTGTGAAGTTGGTGCTGATGGTCTGGCTGGTGAGGGGCCCATTGGTGGCATACATGGCAACCGTGTAGGTGGTGCTGGGCTGAAGGTTGGTCAGCTGGTATTCCTGGTTGATTCCATCCACCAGAATTGTTTCTCCTGCAACTGTAAGCCAAAAGATGAGTTAGGGTAGTGCTACGAGGCTGGGTAGTGGTACATGCCATGGGGCCCATGGGATGAGACATGGGGCCTAAGGATGGGGTGCATCTCCACCACCCACCAGCTACTGCCCTCCCAAGGCACAGGCTCCTTTACTGCTCCCTCCATGGAAGAAACCACCAAGATCCCAGGTTTGGGGTGGGGGAGAGGTGGAGGTGAGCTGAGATGGAGCTCTAGCAAATCTTGCAGCGGAGGGGTGTGGGGTTTCAGCACACCTGCGTGGCGGGTGAGGACGAGGACATAGCTCTCCACATCCATGAGCGGCGGGTTCCACTGCAGCAGTGCCTCGGTGGGGGTGATGTTGGTGGCGGTGACACCCAGCGGGGCATCCATGGCTGCACAGGGGACAGATTTGGAGGGTCAGATGCATTAAGGGACTATGGGCTAGGAGCTGGAAGAGCTTCCTGTGTCCCTGCCTCTCTTTCCAGGCACACGTTTACCTACAGAGGAAATTTTACTGCCCTCGTTGGAGAGTGGCATGTTGTAGCTTGTACTGCTCCACTATCTGGGTTTGCCTTCCAGTGTTTGCCTGATACACAGTCTGGGGAGCTAAGGTTTTTTAGGTTTTGAGAAGTCTGGGGATAGCAGAGGGTTTTATTCTTGCAACAGATGATGTTTGTTTCAGGGCTTTGACACATATTTCCCTAGGGATTATTTTTGGAAGCCTGTACTTCCTTTAGGAAAGGTTGTTATGGTTGCCCAGCATCACATCTCTGCCCTCTCTGTGACTGGTACACAGATTTGTCACTCCCTCCATGACAAGCCACGCATATACAGGAAAAGCTTTTCTTAGACATACTTTGAAAGTCCCCAGTGTATCCTCGTGAGTCTCACTCATCATCTCAAGCTCACCTCAGGATGCCATTACGTTCAGCTTGCTCTTGGCTGTCTGATTGCCAGGAATAGTATGGACTGCCAGCCCTTTCCCAGGACAGGACGTGGCCCAGTTGATCACTGCCTGCCACTGGGAGCCCTTTCCCACCTGTGTGTGTGGTGATGGAGGCCACCTCGCTCTCCTCCCGGCCCCGCACACTCTTCACTCCAATCTCGTACTTGGTGGCAGGCTGCAGAAGGCGGATGGTGTACTTGGTGGCATCGCTGCCGATGGCTGTGCTGTCTGTCCTCCCTGCAAGGACAGAGCCAAGAGCTTTGGTGACATGCCTGGCCCTGACCCGAGGTGCGGAGTTTGCCCAGGAGGAGATGGCAATGCCACAACCCAGGGCTGATGCTGGGAACAAATGTGTTCTGTGCCCACGTGTTGACACTCATGTGCCCATCATTCTTACTGACTCGGCTTTTCCAGCATGATAGGCAAAAACTAGGCTCAAGGGTTGGAGAGGAGGGTGCAAGAGGAGGGCAAGGCTTTCTGGGCTGGTTGTGGTTTGGGTCACGCAATGGTGTGGGATTTTGACCTCTGGCCCTGCTCCCCAACCCCAGCACCTGCTCTTGCACCACATTTTCCGAAAGAAAAGTAAGAGCGAAATGGCCTGAAGCTGCTGGGAAACTGTTGAAGTCCTTTGCTTAACTTAGGACCAGCCCCACACACACCCTGGGGTACAGCATAGCAGGGAGGGACTCTGCACAATGTCTGACCCCTTACCTTCAGCAGCACGGTAGGATATTCTGTAGTGATCAAAGGGAGCAACAGGAGGGCTCCAATAGATGACCATGGAGTCCTGAGTAATGTTGCCCACTCTGAGGTCCTTTGGTGCATCCATCCCTGGTGAGATGAAGCAGAAAACACAGCTGTGGGAGGCAGGTCCACACCCCCTCCCTCCACCCACCTTCTTGGAGGGGTCTCACACCCAGTACCTGTCGTGATGGAGCCTGTGACAGGCTCAGAGCTGACTGCACCATGGACAGCCACTAGGGACACAAGGTACTCGGTGGATGGCCGCAGACCCGTGAGGCTGGCATGCCTGCGGGTGCCATCAAGTGCCAGCTGCTGTGCTGCCTCCTCATCCCGGGGGCTGTAGGTGAGGACCAGGTGGTCTGCAGGGGGGGACGGATCGCTCCACGTGATGTTCACACTTGAGGATGTCAGCTGGGAGAAGTGCAGCTGCGTGATGGGCCGGACCCCTGAAAGCCATAGAGGGGAGATGCAGCCCCCCACAGTCTGCAGCTCCCAACCTCTTGCTCATACCCAGCATTGTGCACTGGTGCCCATAGGGGATATAAGGGAGGTTGCAAAGCCCCACATGTGGGTGCTCCAGTAGTCTGAATGGGATCGAGAGGCAGAATAGGAAAGGGGAAGCGGTGTTTTCCTCAGTTCTGACTACAAACATGTTCAATCCCAGCCTCATGGATGGGACAATCTGATACAATTTGGATGAGCTCTCTGTGCTTCTCAACCATGTTTTTTTTCATCCCAGAGGTACTTCTCATGCCCCTCAAGGCCTGGATTCGCCTTTCTGCCAACTCAGAGCACAGAGGACCACATGTTTTCCTACAGAGGCTTCCCTACCTCCTCCTTATGGAAATCATCCAAGCAAACATGTTCAGTGCCATTATCCAGAAGGGCAGGATCCCCGCACTGGTAGGGCCATCACCTTTCTCAGGTCCATGGACCTGCTCTGATGTGGATGGATTGCCCCCAAGCTCTCACCCCATCCCCGTCTCAGGAGTTTTGGTGCTGGGGAATTGGTAATAGGGTAGTGCCCTGTGCTTGGTCCCATCTCCACTTGGTTTTCTTTACCTGTGAAAGCATCCACGGTGGCCTCTAGGCTCTGCTGACGTCCCCTCTCAGCGACGATGGAGATGGTATACTCTGTCCCTGGCTCCAGCTCAGAGAGGGTGAGCTGTGACTCATCACGGGACACCGTCACCTCAGAGGCCATCCCCGAGGCAGGGGTAAAGGTGACACGGTAGTGGTCAATGGGACCCATGGCTTTGGTCCAGGACAGTGAGATGGACGTCTCCGTGGAAGCTGTTACCATGAGGTCCCGGGGGCTATCAAGCTCTGTGGGTTGAATATTACAGATATTTGTTCCCATACATGGTTTGTGCCATGGAGGTTGTAGGAGTTGGAGGGCCATAGGATCTGGCTGTGTTTGGAGGCCAAAAGCCGTGGGGTTAGACTCACCTGTCCTAGCATTCATGGTCGCTGGCACGCTCTGCTGGCTGTCCATCACAGCTGAAATCCCAATGCCATATTCTGTCCCTGGCACCAGATCTGCAAGATTGAGTAAAGCACAGAGAGGTGCATGAGGACAGCATCCAACTTGGTGGTCGTGGAGAGTGACCCCCACCACGGCTGGAGGTAAAGGGGAACTCCTGAGTGCTTCTAGAATCACCAACCTTCCCACAGCTCAGCCACTCCACTGGGTGCTGTAGAAAGCCTTTTGAAAAAGCCCCCAAATGCCTTTGGACAGGGAAGTGGGATTAGTCTAGCTCAGAAATAACCAGTTTTTAAAAGGAGTTACTGAGGTCTGCTGTAATTGCTGGCATCAAGACAGAAATTGTGTGTGAGCGAGAGGGAGCAAAATGAGATGGGAATGATAAAGTAGCTGTGTTTGTTTCCAAAATGATTCAGCTTCAAATATTGTCACAGGGTTGGTGTCGCAAAAAGAAATAAATTACGCAGAGTAAATGAAATGGACATTAATTAGTAAACATACAGCCTAGCTGGGAGCCGACTCAAGCACGTTCCTTGAGGAGGACGTGTCCTGTGGTTCCTCTCACCTGGGGAATGTGAAATGAGCTAATCGAGCTCATTTTGTCTGTGCCTATTACTGGTGGCTGCTCTATCTCCATGGAACATCTCCTGGGTCTTCACTCCTGCTTGGCCTTTGACAGCTTCATTTCTCCCCTCCTCATGCTCTGTTGATCTTTCCCATCAGGTCAGAGAAAGCCATAAGCCTTGCAGCCCAGCCTCTTCTCTCCCATCTCTTGGATAGGGAAAAATCACCAGTATTTCTGACAGCTTTGCAAATTCTCATCTTTGAAAAGAGACCTCTGGGGCAGGGCAAGATTTGCTGTATTTTTAAGATTAAATATTCAATAAGCTCTGTTCAGCACCTTTCCTCAACACTTTTCTTAGGAGCAGATGAAGGCTTTTATGCCATGGACCCCACTGAGTCCTCAGCAGCTGGAAATTTGCCCCAACACTCCACACCATGGGTGATGAAGCTCTGGAGGAGAAGGCTACAGTGTTTGTGACAAAGATAGAGAGAGGCTGTTTGCAGCTGCTTGCCATCAGCAAAGGCTGTCCTCTCATCTGTCCCCTCCACATCATCCCAAAAGGCAGCAAATATCCTAGAGGACAGAGGACCAGCACCAGAACCCCTGTCTCCCATTGTCCTCATCCATCTCCGTCCCACTTCTCCACTCATGAGTGCAGCAGAAACTGTCCCTACTACATTCTTTCTTACACACCACATTTTTCAAGCTAACTGCTCTAAATGTTTTCCTGCCCTCCAGCCTTTCTCATGACTCAGTGCCGCTGTGCCTGTAACTTTGCATTAGACTTTTCCACTGCACACGTTTGTTCCTATAGGTCCATATGGCAGTTGTCTGAGCCTGACACAATACGGGAGAACCTGTTGCCGTGCCATACTGAAGATCTAGATAAGTCCCAAGCTCAAAAAATGGTATTTTTTTGGTATATAAGTGTTGGGGGTTTTTTTGCCCCCAAAATGCCACCTGAGCTGCAGATCTGGCAGGCAACCAGCTGCAGCTGAAAAAGGAAAACAGATCTTGGATGGCTCTCCATGGCGCTAATACAAAGTGTGTTTGGGGACATTCCTGGTAAGGCTGACAGAGGGATGCAATGGTGCTTGCAGAGCATGGTGGCACCCGTGTGCCAGCCTGGACCACAAAATGCTGGAGGGACTTGCTTGGAATTGCCATCCCTGGTTTTGAGTTTACTTTGTGCTGATGAGGAAAAAGACAAAGAACTTGGGTAGGCCAGCCTATGGAGCATCAGTGTCCCAGCAAGGGGGAAAAAAATAAAAAGAGAAGTAGTGTTTTTCTCTAGATCAACCTGAAGTGTCTTCCTCTCCCCAGTTCTCATTCCAGCCGTTGCTAGCTCTTCTTTGGACCCTTGGGGCAGCCCCCCCAAAGGACATCACTTGGCTCCCAGCAGAATATCACCCAGACTCACAGAAGGAGCACTAGGGCAAGCTGATTTGGACTTGCAAGGAGAATGGGGATGAGTGAGGGTAAAGATGAAGATGATGAAGATGACAATGAAGGTAACGCAGGCATACCTGCAAGAGTGGCCCGGGTGGTGGGGCCAGTGTCCCGTGGCACCAGAACCTCGTGGTAATGCTCTCCAGCCAGAGTGCTGTAGACCACCCTATAGCTGTGTGCCTCTGCCTCACTGTTGTCCCAGGTGAGCTCGAGGCTGGCGGGGGTCCGTGAGCCCACCCGTAGGTTCTTGGGTGCATCGATCTCTGTCCAACACAAGGAAGAAAGGCATGGTCTCTCTATGGTTGAACTAGATCTCAGAGGTCCTTTCCAGCCTTAATGATTCTATGATTCTGTGTTCTTGCCAATGGGCTCTGGGAGCTGTGGCATGGCTGAGAAGTGGGGAGGGAACACAGGTGGCACATCCCCATGGCTGGGACATCTCTCGCCCCCTGCTCAGAACAGACCTGGAGGTGCCACTCACAGACTCATCAAGACCAGTGCTCTAAAGCCATCCAGCACTGGCCTGAACTTCTCCTAGAAGACCTCAAGCATCTCTGCAGATTTATTCATGCTCAGACACTGTCCAGACTGATCAAACGTTTTATTTGTGCTGTGGAGGCTGCATGCCAGACCTGCTCGGATCTGTACCATAGCTGCCTGCGAGGGATGAGTTTGAGCAGGGCAGGATCTGACTGCACAGGAGGTAGGCATTAATTCCTGCTCTGGGTCTGGGCTTAGGAGGGATTTTTATGCTGTCTTTTAGAAATAGAGCAAAGAAGGCCAACTCAGCAAATCAATTGCAATGAACATCTCATTCTTACATATATATCTGCATAGATATATATACACAATTCACATGCTGTGGTTATTGTAAAAGGAGCCTAGTATTCCTCAGTGATGTACATGGCAACTAATTTATATACCATAAAACAGCACTGATATATGCTCTCTACCTACTCCTTTATGGCACGGTAAATTAAACCTGTTAGCTCTCTGCAGGCTTAACATTAATTAAAATTTTACTGACCTGTTAGACTATTCATATAAGATATAAAATAAGATATCCATGTTTTTAACTGGGCTTCTTCCAGCTGCTTGATTGCTGATTTTTCAGGCACTGTGCCTGCCTCAGCTCTCAGTGCTGTGCAAGTATGGGAGCACTGTCTTGAAATCAGACCTCCCTGATGCACACTGGTCTGTGGGTGGCATTAAGGGTGAAAATTGCTGTTTTGGAGGTGGAATTGTTTAACCTAGAGAAGAGGAGGATGAAGGGAGATCCTATCACCCTCTACAACAACCTGACAAGAGATTGGTTGAATGGAGCCCTGGGTAACTGATCTGATGCCTGATTCAGTGGTTGGCAGCCCTAGAACTAGATGATCTTTGCAGTCCCTTCCAACCCAAGCCATTCAGCCATTCTACAATGCTACGATGATTGCAGTGAAGTGGGTGTTCATCTCTTTTCTTGGGTGATAATTGATTGGACAGGAAGAAATGGCATCAAGTTGCACCAGGGAAGGTTTAGGCTGGGCATTAGGAACAATTTCTTCACGGGGAGGGTAGGCAAGGATTAGAACAGGCTTCCCAGGTCAGTGGAGGAGTCTCCATCCCTGGAGATACTCGAGAGACGTGTGGATACGGTGCTAAGGAACACGTTAGTGTAGGGCGCTCACTAGGTCAGGTTGATGGCTGGACCTGGTCTTTCCTGAAGGTCTTTCCCACCCACCCACCACACCACTCTGCAGCATTCAGCCCCCTCGCCGGCTCCTCCAGCTACCTGTGGTGAACTGAGTGAGGGCCGGCTGGCTCTCGTTGGCACCCCGGAGGGCGCTGACAGCGAGGTGGTAGCGGGCGCCGGGCCGCAGGGCCTGCAGGGAGTACTGGCTGAGGGGGGGCTGCAGGCGGAAGGTGGTCCTCCCGCCCTCCCCATCCGCCAGCCCGTACTTCAGCAGGATGGCGTCCACCCGGGCGCGAGGCGGAGTCCACTCCACAAAGGCCACCGTGTCGGAGATGTCCCGCACCAGGATCTGCGTCGGGCCGTCGATGACTGCAGAGTGTGGGGGAAAGGAGGGGCGGTTAATGGGGGAGAGTTGGATGGGGAAGGGCAGCAGGTATGGGGACATCAAGCTGCCACTCGGCCTTTGGAGAGGCGTGAGTTAGAGGTGGCATGGGCACAAGGCTCGACTCTTCCAACCTAAAGCACTCACAGGGCTTGGTCGTGGTGAGTTCCAGTGCCTTGTTCCAGACCCTCCACTTTCCTGACATCTTTCTTGAGCAGAGCATTACAGATACATGCCAGTAACAGATAGAATGAAACTTCTGCCCTTCTCAAGCTGAGTGTTGACAATTCCTCTCTGTCTTATTCAGAAGTCATCTCCCAGAATAAAACCTCCTACATTTCTCTCCGGTCCGTTTTCCCATTTTCGTTGCTCCTAGATAACTGCTCATACTTGGTGATGCATAGAAAAATGCAGTTTTCCTTTGTGCCTGGCTCTTCGAGCCATTCAAAATGCTTTTATCGGTGATCTCCTTCTTTCCACTCAATTTACTCTTTTACAAGCCTTCCTATCATTGGCAAAATTTATCAGCAAAGATAGTTTGTCTATTATGGCTCTTGAAAGGTGTTGACAATGTGTTAAATAACACAGGGCCAAGGACTGATTCAACCATCAAGAGCTGGAGAAAGTCTCTAGACATGTTCCAGCATTGGTGCCAGCTCCTGTAGCTAAGCTGCAGGATCAGCTCTTGGAGCTGCTGACGTGTTAGTACTGGGGAGGGAGGGGAAAATGCAACTGCTCTGATGAGGCTTCATAACTAGCTGGGAGCAGGGCTATGGAGGGTGTCCACCACCAAACACCCTCAGACAAACAGGTTTTAGCTAAAGCATTCACATCGAGCATCTCCTGAGAGGCTGCTTAGGACATTTTTGCTCTATTTTGCAGAGAATTGCATTCATTCTTGCTCTGCATTCTCCAGGGCTTGGTTAATCACATGCTCAGACCAAGTGAGGGATGCTTTGAGTCCTGCAGGACCATCGGCATGGACTGAGGCTACTGTGCCATAGCACTGCTGATGCACTGGCTGCCTGCTTTGTCTCTTCTGTGACCAAAAAGTGGTGAAAAAAACACATTAATCTTGTAGTTTGAGCTGTGCTGCATATGTCCTTTACACTACATGCACTGGAAACGTTGTGGTGTAATAAGGATGTGCTGAATGCTGTGCCTCAGGGTGGGAAATCCTGGGGGCTAAATGCAGGGGTGGGGAAGGGATGAAGGAGCTTAGAATAGACGTGTGGGGGAACTGGGAGTAGTGGGATGAAGTCTGGGGACGAAACGGCAACAGAGGAGGAAGGATGGTTGGGAAGCAGGGTTTTTAGGTTGGAGCTGAGTGTCCAGCTTGGCCAAGGCTCATCCAAACCGTGCATCTCATATTGGTGGTGGAGAGCACAGCGCTGCTGTGCTCCCTTGCTAAAGTCAATCACTTAATTTGATGTACCAGCCTCTTTTTTTTTCTTTTTTTCTTTTTTCTTTTTTTTTTTTTCCCGTGACTTCCTAGAAAAATGGAAAGGTTTGCCTTGACCAGGAGATGTCTCTGTTAAGCCGTGTCAAGCGGAGCAGGACTGTACTGAGGAAGCTCAGATGTGCTGCCAGAGAGGGGCTGTCTGATGGAGGGACCATCCCTGCACCACCCCTTCCTCTCCAAAGCCCCAGATTAGCATCTCCCCATGCTCTGTCCAGCGCCACATCCTCTTGGCGAGGAAGGGACTACGTTCTTCCACACATGCTGAATTTCATAGAGCTGCTTCTGGCTCTCTGCCCCGCTGCCTGATTTGCCTGAATGGGTGGGAGGACAGGGTGTTCGGCTGCACAAAAGCATGTAGGAGCTTTAATATGGAGGAGATGAGTAGGCAGTGCACTTTTAGAGTTGTTTCTTGGGCACGTCCATGCTCCCAAATGTGCCTGGGGTGAGATTAATGGAGAAGAGGAATTCATGCAGCTACACTGTGCAAGCTGACCAGAGCCGTGACTCCCAACCCCATTAAACACACCATGCTTTCTGTGCTCGCAGCAGTTTGGGGAGGAGGACAAAGTGTTGCGTGAAAACCTATTGCTGCAATGCACCTGTAGCATTTGGGTTGTGCTAAGCATTCAGATTCAGAACACTGGTTGAAGAAAACCACTTCTGTGTATCTGATGCCCCAGCGCCTGGCTCGGGCAGCTTTCTGGCCCCAACAGATGTTGTGTTTGGACCTGATTTTGCTATGGGGTGCTGAGGTTCTTGGGATGCACTGCCCGGTGCCGGGCTCACTCACGGGTGGAGATGCTGTCGGAGGCCGGGGGGCTCCTGGCTTGGTCCTTCAGAGCCACCACAGTGACAGTGTACTCCTCGCCTGGCTTCAGCCCAGTCTGGTTGAAGGTGGTGACGGTGCTGGGGAGCTGGGCAATCACACCACCCTCGTTGTTCTGCCGGGGGCGGGGGGAGAAAAGGCAACAGGAAGGAGGAAGGGGTTTAAAAACAACAGAAAAGGCTTTATTCTCAGGGAGTACAGGCACAGATGCATGGCAAAGTGATGACCCAGCCATGCACCCCCAGATCACGTTTTCATCCCAGTACATCTCATCATGGAGATGCAGGAGCCTTGGGCAAAGTCACCCACCAGCTGTGGAGCACCTGAGCTGTAGAGCTGGGAAATGCTCCCGTCCCCTCTCCTGCCTCATACCTTGCTGTGTTTTGCCATCTGAATATTCTCCAGAACATAAAAGTAAAACCAAAGCCTCCTTTTCCTGCATGGCTGCTACCCAGGTGCCGGGAGCTGTCTATGTTTCATGCAGAGGTGAAACCATCGCGTATTTATTTTGGATTCCCCCCTTTTTAAAATATCTTGATTGAATTCATTATACTTTCTGTTTTGTGCTCCGAAAAACACATAAGTCTTTTAAGCAACTGCAAATGTCACCTTCCCTGCCAGTGTTTGGACAATGGATCTTTTCTTGCTGCTGTCTTTACTAATAACACACTAAACAAATCTGTGCACATAGCTCTCAATCCATATTCATCTCTTTTCCTCATTAGACAGGAAATCTTCCATTTTATCCATAAATTGCCATCTCACCTTGCCTAATTTTCTTTTCTATGTCTGTTATCACTCCAGTCTTTCACTAATTGCCTCTCTGAGCCTCTCTCATTGCCCCAAATACCCCTGCATTGCTTTCTCCTTGTTTTTTGCCCCCCAGCATGAGCAGATGTGCAATAGCTCCCCCAATCCTGTATCTAGGGATAATTTAAGATGTGGAGGGTGGCTTGCACAGAGGGAGGGTGTGTACTCCCCCTGGGGACACTGAGGACAAAATTAGTGTCCCCACACCCAGCTTTTGGAAAGGCAGTTTGACCTTGATTTGCAAGCCTACAGCACAGGGGTTATTTGCAATAGAGCTTCTTTAACATTATATATATATATTTTTTTCCACATCACTGCCTCTTGGGTTTTGCTTTAAGTTGGGGTGCAGCAATGGTTTTGTGTCTCTGTCTGAGCAAACCATGACCGCAGCTTCCAGGCAGCCATGGAGACAGCACCCTCTGTCTTGTTTCAGGGGAAAAGCTGATAATGTAGACTTGAGAAAACCCAATATTGGCGGCAGGAGAACAACTGCATCTTCACAATGCAAGGCCTCATGCTTGATGGACGGTACTAAAATGAAAGCCCTATGAGCTGCAACCATTCCCATCCCTGAAAAGGCTGCCCAAGGAATAGCTTTCCTTTTGTACTTTATCTCTCTGTTTCATTCCCAGCATGTTTCCTGCTGGTTTTAAGCTTAAATAAGAGAAATGGGAGCCAGCAGCTTGCTTCAGTGGTCTGGCTTGAGGAAAACCTATTGCTGATGTCTTTGTAGGAGAGACATTTGCAAACATCCCACGAACTCCTCACCCCAAAACACGCCTATACCAATTTGTCTGCTTCAGGGCGGATGTTGCTGAGATTAATTCATGAGTATCGATGAAATGCTTGAATGATGCATGATTTGTTTGCCATTAGACTCAAAGCTCTGGTGGTCTTTTCCTGGCATTGCCCTATTTTGTGGCGTGGGGTTGGAACTACATCATCTCTAAAGTCCCTTCCAATCTAAGCCGTTCTGTGATTCTATTACTCTATTTCATCCTGAAATACAATGTTTTTGTATTCCATCCCGACGCCCTTGGTTTTGTAACTGTGGTACCCAAACTTTAGCTTCTGACACCATCTGTGGATCAAAAATTGCACCAAGATGCTCCCAGCCCTTTTTGGAAGTGAGGAGTAAGTTATCTCAGGCCCCCAGGCCCCTGTTTTGTGCAGTGTCTCATGACACTTTGCAATTGAGAGCTGTTAAAACTTTGGGGCCAACTTCTGCTGTTTCTGCTGCCCAGAGCTGCCTGACTCCAGCGAGGATTTTGTACAAGGGAAAACGGCATAATTGTGCCTTAATCAGCATTTCTTTTACTGCTGGGGATTGAAAGCCTCTTGTAAAGAGGCTCCATATACAATTGAAGCTATACTTATGGCTAAATGGTGTAGAAATTATGAATATAGATGAAATACTTGATGTACAATTTTTGTTACTGCGTATGGAAAATAGGCGATATTTAAGGCAACACTTTCATCATTTTCATTTTTTCTGGCGCCAGTTCTACCTGTTCTTCACTGCAATTAAAATGCCGTGGCAGGAGCTATCTGGGCACGTGACTGGGGATACTGGAGCCCTGACAGCCTACGGCTGGTCATTGAGATCTAGGCTTAGGGTGCACCCCACGATGTCGTGCTGTGAGGTAGCATTACCTTGGGGATGAAGCTGATTTCCCAGCCATCAAAAGGGAAGGAGAAGGGTTCCCACTGCACCTCCACGGTCGTCTCTGTGATGGTCTTGAACTTCAGCCCCTGCGGAGTGGCCAAGTCTAGAAGGGACCAGGAGGTTGTGAGGGCTGGGTTGACCTCCTTGCAACTATTTTGTTATTGGGGTGATGGAAATGGGGCCCTGGTGGTCTCTGTTAGCAGCATCATTGTTCTTTTGGGCTGGAGGGGGAGGAGGGGGATGCCCTCCACTGTGGCATCCCACTGCTTTGTGCCCAGTAACATTGTGCCAACAGGGTGAGCAATGGCGTTACAAAAGCGGCACTGGCATCACTTGTTTTTCCCCTGCTTACTCTGCCTTTAATTTCCCAAGGATACTTTCTGGAAGCTGCTGTCACAGCCTGCTGTTCCCTTTTTCCTCTGGCACTAAGAACCTCATGATGCACAGCAACATCCCCTCTTGCTGTGCTATTAGCTATGTTGCGGGGATTTGCCTTGGGGAGCCCATCCAGAAAAAGGAGCAGAACCTGTGACTTGTATGGTATATCACAAAAATATGAGATATTTTGGGCTGTGTTTGGGGGCTTCAAGCAAGCAAGCAAATTTTCCTTGATTGTCAGCAATTTGGGTTTCCATCCCAAACAGAGACTTCTTGCAGCAAGTGGTGTCATTTCCACCTTTCCTTTATCCCCATGTGGATATACATGTGGGTAAACATATCTCCACTATTTTTTCTGAAGGCTCAATTTTCTGCTGCTGGAAGGTCTTTACAGAAGACATGAGCTAGCTTGAGAAAGCTGCGTTACACCATGGCAAGACTGTGCATTGTGCTAAGAATGCCATCATAGGATAGGTCAAATATCAGATGGACGCACCTTTACAGGCTGCTTCTTGTATTCCTCGTTATATGGGCCAGTGCTGTCTTCTGCAGCTGTCTGATGAGCATCACCTCTGGTTTTTGGGGTACCAAGGGACAAGTGCAGGCAGATACTTACTGGTTGTCACCTTGGTGGTGACAGGGCTGCTCAAGACATCGCTGATGACTGCGTAGATGCTGATGTTGTAGGCAACGCCTGGCTCCAGCTCCGTGATGGTGATGGTGCTCCAGTCCCCAGGCACCCGCTGCTGGAGCTGGGATCCCCCTGGCCCCACTGCCTGGTATGATACCACGTACTCAGTGGCTGCCCCGGGGCTGTCCCATGCCAGCTCAATGGAGCCATCGCTGATCCCTGTCACACGCAGGTTTTCAGGAGGAGCCACTGATGGGGAAAGAGAGGGAGAGCATCAGGACGTGCATGACTTATCCTCCGGCCACGGGTGAGGGAGTGTGGGTCTGCTGGTTGGACATGGGTAAGGGCTCTTGCTTGGGGGTCATGTGCTCACAAGTTTTATTGCAAGGCAAAGGCTCAGGAGAACCTGCTTGTACTGCTATTGTAGAAGTGGATCACCACCAATATTTAGACAAAACTCAATGGCTTTTTGCTTGCCTCCCAAACCTTTATGCATCTCTGGCAGATGGGAACAACAGGCAGGCAGTCGAACTATGGGATGTGAGCACAAAGTGCTCTGCCAGCTATGGGTTCCTCCCATGCTGTGTGGTGCTCCTGTGGGACTCTGGGAACTTTGTGTCCCTTTCTCACACAATCAGGTCTGACTCCCCCCACACACCCCTGCTACCTGCCGAGCAGTCCTGCCCTCCGTAGCCATCCTCACAGATGCAGAGGCCATCCTGGCAGACACCTCGTCCACTGCAGGCGTTGGGACACCGCAGCCACCCGCAGTCCTCCCCAGCATAGCCCTCGGCGCACACGCAGGTGCCGTTGTCACAGTGTCCCCTTCCCGAGCAATCGCGGGGGCAGCGGGGCTGAGAGCAGTCATCCCCACCGAAGCCCTCCTCGCAGATGCATTCTCCATCCACGCAGAGCCCACGGGAGCCGCAGCCGGCGGGGCAGCGGAGCTGGGAGCAATCCTCACCGCCGTAGTCGTTGTCACACACGCACTGACCCTCCAGGCACACCCCACGGCTGGAGCAGCCCCTTGGGCAGCGTGGCTCTGAGCAGTTGCTGCCCGCCCAGCCCTCGCTGCAGACGCAGCGGCACGACTCAAGGCTGAAGTTCCCGTGACCGCTGCACGGTAAGGTGTAATCCAGGCGTCCTGCAAAATGATGTGGGATGGGTGGTCAGAGCCTGGTGTGGGGTCTGTGAATGGAGGGCAAGTGGCAGGGTGGTCCTCCCTATGGCTGAGCTCTCCTGTCTTGCAGGAGTTGGGGGATGGCTGAGGCTTAGGTTTGGTATGGGTCATGCTGGGGCTTGGGGTGGGAGCTCTAGTCTCAACTCCTGGCTGTGGACCTGCTGGGTGCCAGAGCTCCCCTTAGTTTCTCTGTAGTTCCCTAGACAGCTACATGGCAAAAAGCCCTCCCTGGCCAACCCCTCTGCACCAACCACAGCTCAGTGGGCTCTGCTGTCTCCTCTCCACGCATAGATTCATCGTAAAGTTGAGAGATCCCAATATTATGTCTGAGTATTACGATCAAAGGCATGTAATATTCATCCCTATCCTGGTGATTCTAGATTGGTTTGCACATGAGTTAGGGATGTGGGAAAGAAGGGAGAACACGTAGCCACCTCCTCTGATGTCCCTGTTTTGCTCAGCAGTAGGGTGAGGAGGGACACGTGGGGGTGAGGGCACCAGTTGCTCTGACACTGCCCATCCTCCCATATTTTGCCTCACAACATGGACCTGCTGCTTCAGCTTCGGGTTTACACCAGCCTGGCTAATTCTTCCCTTTCTGACTTTGCCTGCTTTTTCTCACATGAAAGAAAGGAGGAGTGGAACCCTTTCAGTTCTTCCTCCAACCCTTAGGAAGCCTCTGCACCAGAAAGACCGTGAGTCACAAGACATTTTGTCTCCCCTTAGTGAACCTCTCATCCTAGGTGAGTTATCTGGGTGACAATAGATACCCCCGCAGCAAGGCTTAGCTGTATGCTAAGCCAGACAGATCGGTTTGGGCTTCTTTGCAGGATGCTTCCCCCAGAAACTGCAAGCGTTGGGAATGGCGATCAGGTTCTTTTCAGATCTCATCCTCTAGTTAAGTTATCAAATGAAGAGAGAGGATGCTTGTAGGTGTGCTGTAAGAAGCTCTTTCCTTGGGGAAGTGCCTCAGGCTGTGGGGTCGAGATCCTGCTCTCATTTTAAGTGTGGTGAATTGAAAGCAGCTTGGTTAAAATGAATGAAATTACTCCAGTTCTACCTCATCATGCATCTGTGGTTTGAGTGAAGACTCCAACTACTGATAAATGTTTAATGGGACCAGCTACATATGTTGCAAGTAACCCAAATTGTTCCATCAGTGTTTCAAATGAATTCCTTAAAATCAGGTTTTTCCCATTGCTCTTCCCATTCCATTTTAACTGTGCAAACAGTCTTGTCTTTCAATGGTGTTTTCCAGTCTCTTTTATGCTCACAGCTGATTGGTACCACACTGGGGGCATCCCAGCAGGACTGAGCAAAGCCTGGAGCCACGAGGTGCCCTTCCAGACAGCACCCTTCAGGGGCTACCTGAGAGATTAGAGACCAGCTGTGTGCTAGCACCTCTGCTCAGCAGCCTCTAAACCAAACCTTTCACAACCCATGTTGTTATCATGTTATGTCACTATCACAGAGGGACTGAGCTGTGCCTTTACTGGAGAAACCCTGAGGGAGGCTCTGAGAGCTTCACCATTGTCTTAGTTTCAACTGAGACTAACTGTTTTCTTCAGAGTGCCTGGTATGATGCTGTTTTTTGTTTCTGGGTGAATGCTGATAACACACTGATGCTTACAGTTGCTGCTAAGCAGTGCTGTGCAGAGCCAAGGCCATTCTCAGCAAAGGGCCCAAGGAGCTGGGAGGGAATAGGTTGGGAAGCTCACCCTGCTCATCCCTTATCAGCCACAATTTTATTTTAATGGGATTTTAGCTCTGTCTGATGGATACATTTATGGGGTTTACACAACAAGTGGGCTTTGGGAGCTGAAGTTACCGAATCCCTCCCAGGGAATTCCCTGCCTTGGAGGCCCTAAGCTGGACTTTTCTGTAATGGCACAGCTATGACACCATGGCTGAACAGAGATTTTCCTTCATCATTACTCTGAGTGACATTACTAGCTCTGTGTTTATTTCTCCTGCCTTTTGCTTGAGCCCTGTGTCCCCAACAAGAGCTAACAGCATCGCATTACTACCTGTGGCTGCATTTTCTTGGCAGCAATTGGAGTTGCATTGGTCCCGGAGCATGGAGACCTCCCTCTCCAGCATCTCAATCCTGCTCAGCAGCTCCTGCAGGGACGGGAGGGAGGTGGAGCACTTACAGGCTTGCTTGGGCAAGTTTATCCTGTGGGTGAAGGTGACCTGGCTCTCGCTGTCGGAGGTCTGCTCTGTGTACTCCGCCAGCCTGTCGTCTTCTGAACTCACCTCCTCAGCCGAAGACCTGAGCATGGAGGAGCAGCAGCTGTCCATGGGGACGTTGATGTTGTAAATGTGGTGGAAGACCATGGGCTGCTCTTTGATGGGTGGGCTGCAGTTGGCCAGGCCCCCCTCCTCATCCACTGCCGGCCTCTCGGCTGGCTCTGTTGTCACCTCCAGCCGGCACTCGAACGGCTTCAGGACAGCACCCAGCAGCAACAAGTTGAAGCTGATGAGCACGTTTCTCAGGACTGGGTTTTCACTGTCAGTCCCCATTTTCTTAGGAGGGAGGTGAGCCTTCTAAGCCAACCTTGGTTGGCCAAGCGTGAGGAGGACCTATGGAGAGAGGAAAGAGAGCGTGATTAGTGTTAGACTTGACACCGCACTAAGGTCGGAGAGGTGAGTTGTCCAGAGAGATGTGGGCCAGTTTGACACACACGCAGTCCCACTGACCTTGGTAGAGCCCAAAGCATCTCCAAGATGGGCCCAGGGTTGGGAGAAGAAGATGGGCCTTCTCCAGAGTATGCATTCCCAGCATTTTGGCTCCAGCCCTCAAAGGATGACAGAAGCAGATTCTTATTCCTATAGTATTTTTGAAGGTAACAGTTGATTTGGTACTAACAAAGCCCCACGTGCTTCTGTTTCCAGCAGAAATACCCCATAAGGCTACTGCAATCAGTGCAACATCAGCACAGAGCATAGGGCGTAAGGGGTTAAATCGTGGGTGCCAGCAATGTGTGGGTGATGACAATGCATGGATGAAAATGCCACATCCCTACTTTTCTCTGGACCCCTCCACGAGCACAAATGGTGCTCCAGGAGCTGAGCCTGAGGTTGCTAAGCTTCCTCTAGTAGCTATAGGAACAGCAGCCTCAACTCAAAACACCGTTAAATTACAGCACACAGGCTTGAGCTCCTTTAGGTCTGCGCAGACAAATCCCTTGTGATGAAGTGGCTTCACCTCCTACCCATGCTCTGGATTACAGGTTAAAGTTGCCTTGATTTGAAAATAAATAACTTCTCACTTCTATATCAATTGCAAGCCCCCAGGTACCAATCTGGGCTCCAAGGACACGATTATCTGCAGCCAAAAACCATCAGTGTCAGCTCACTTGTTCTGGGGATGAGTTTGGTCCCATTACTTTTGCTGGGACTACTGTCTGCTGACCAATGATGGACATCAACAGGTTTGCCATGAGGAATCACTGCCCGACCCATCCCAGGATAGAGCTAGTGAGCAGGTGAGACTGGGACTGCAATTGCATTGCTCTCATCTTTTGGAGAGACCCAGTGTAGATGGGGTTAGCCAAAGGGACTTTCACAGTATCTTTTTTTTTCCTAGGAGTGCCTTATGCCCTGGGAGAGGGATGGACAAAATCTGGTCCCCTTGGGACAAGACAGCCAGTGTCCTCGTGCAGGGTCAGTCTCCTTCAGGTCATGAAGCTTGGGTTTTTGGAGATGGGAGAGAACAGTGGTGTGCTGCTTGGCTGTGATCTGACTCTACTGCTGTCTGCAAGGGCCATAATCTTGAGCAGCTCCCCTCTCTCACTGCTATCCCCTTGTTGTAATGCTCTTCTTTGAGGGACAATCATGCCTCTCCTTCTTTCCCAGCTTCTCAGTGAAAATATTTGTTTACTGGTTTTCTCTTACAATACCACGGTACTACAGGAAATACAGCTATTCAGCTGCCTCTCAGTCTTTGCAGGGTTATTATCCCATATTACTGCAGTGTTCCTCCTGCACATTTCTTCCTGGCTCTGTGCTCAATGCCTACCTCTCTTCTGAGCAGGCACATGGAGCTTTGCTAGGCTTTCTCTCTCTCTTTCTTTGTGATTTCAAGCAAAGCAAATATATGAAATTTCTCCAAGGTGGAGTGACCTCTGCACCTTTTCAGATGGGGGGTGGCATGTGGTATGGGATATGTTTGCAGCCAATAGTGGTTGCTTCCACCATTATAAGCACATGGTGAGTTTGCGGGTGTGTGATACAATCCACCTGCCAGTTCTTTCCATATTGATATTTCAGCAATCATCCTCCATATCAAATATGGAGGATGATGGAGGATCCACTTGGCTTGCTGGCCATCACGAAGGGTGGAAGATGAGGAAGAGACAGAAGCCATCTGACTCCTAATGTTGACTATGCTGCCACCTGGATGTTCCAGTGCTGGGATTGTAGAACCAGTAGTCTGGTCTTAGTGGGCAGTGAAGCCAAGCAGCTGGGACCTCTTTCTATGGAAAGTGGCATTGACAAAGCAATTGGAAAAAGGACGCAGCCTTTCACCCTAATGGTGATGGCACTCGTCAGCCGTGAGGGAAAGATATCCCTTCAAGGAAGACCTGATAATTAACTCAGGTAAATGGACCACCACGGAGAAAGGTATCTTGAGGTAACTAACTGTGGTAGAGATGATATATGGAATTAACCAACAACCCATGACCCAGCCTGGCTCAGTGGGGCTGCATGCAGTGCCTCCCAGCAGCCCCAGGTCTTCGTCTACCCCAGGCTCCTCCACAGCTCCTTGGTGGCCCTGGCTGACTCTTCTTGTCCCCAGCTGACAGATAGGCCAGGCGTAGGGGGAGGCAGGGGGACTAATTAGCACTTCCTGCCTTTGATTGACTCACTGGCATGCAAGGCTCAGCGTGAGCTCCTTGGCCTCTCTCCCTGCTTTTATTTTTTTGTGCATGTTCAGTGGGGAAGGAATTGTGGCTGCAAGCCAGCAGCATGGAGCTGGGCCAGAGCTTCAAAGCAACATCATCACAGAGCAGCTTAGGTGGTAGGAATGAAATAAAGTCCTCCCCCAGATCTCCATCAGAGCAGGTGCCTATGGGGTGCTGCCCAGTCCTCATTTCTTGAATGATGAATGGTAGCATCACCACTCTGTCCACCCCACACAGTGACCTTGGGCAGTGGAGATACGGCAGCGGGGTTGCTTCCCCATGACACAGTGCTAAGGGATCTCTCTCTTTGTTTTCTTTTAGTATTATAAACAGGACCATGGATGCATTTTGGGGTTGCAGGTATTTCTGAAAGCTACCAAGGGAGAGAGGCTGCATTAACAACAGGTTTGTAGGCGAATCTGGGGCCTGCCCAATGTGAATTAAAGTTCAAGTTTGGCAGGCATCAAGTGCTTCAACTTTGGGGATATGTGAGATGATCAATCTGCTGCTGTTTATGTGCATGGGGCTCAATAAAAAGAGACAATCTGAAACTGAGAAAAACACTGGAGTGCTGTTTCCAGAAGTGGCAAAGCGCTCTACCTCCCAGATGTCCTCCCTTCACCCAGGATTTGTGTCCTGGGGGCCTACAAAGGGAGGAAGTGAAAAGCCAAGATACACCCTGCAGTGCATCCACCTGAATTATAGATGTTTGTGGCCCTGAGCAGCATCTGCAGCCCTTTGTTTATTGCCTGTAAATATGGCCTTGACAAGCCCAAACCATGCGATGGATGTGGGTACGGCACAGCTGCAAAACCACTTGGTTTTGGGGAGCATCTTGCTGGAGATGATTTCAGGCTTAAAAAACCCAACAGCATCCCTGTGCAAAAACAGATTGAACATGTCAGGTGCCTCCAGGACCCGTTGGCTCTTGTGACATGGGTACCTGTAGAGCGAGTGCTTTTTCCCCACTGACTAATTGCGTGGTTAAGGATGAAATACTCTTCTGCTTTAAACAGCAGTTCCCTAACTATACATGGAGGAAGAAATCTATAGTTCCCCAAGCTGCCTGTAAATTCGGCAGGCTTAATAATTCATGTATGCCTCTGTGATCGCAGCCTACATTATATCTTTCTTTCATTACACACTTCTTTATTGAATTTTTGCGGCATATATCAGTAGCCTCTATACGTTCCCATGGGAAAGGTTGAGAGCAAAGTTTCAAGATGAGCTCTTTTCCTTGATACATGGACAGATGGAGCCTGAATCTGACCCGTGTGACCCCACACAGCATCCTCAGGTGATGCTTGACATGGTGACTTGCAGTGCTGTATGCACTGCTCCGCTCTCTGCTCTGCAGACCCTTTTCCCCCAGAAATGCCCAAGTTTATGAAGAAAGAGGTTCTGGCAATCCCATCTGTAGTGTCACAGCCACCAGCTCTACCTCTCACCTCCGTATGCAGCTCTTCCAGCCCTAGAACTGTACTGGTGATGCTCTGAAGCCATAAAGGAGGAATTAACCATAATTGCAGAGCATCGTGGGACCCAAACAGCCTCTAAATCCTCTCCAATTACGTAGTAGCACTTAATCTATAAGGAAACTGTAGTTTAAGAGCAAAAATAAATATGAGGTTATTTTTATCTTCAGCATGGGCACTGGTCACTCATTTTGGAGGGTGATGGAGGACCCGCATGGTAGGGGCTGTTGGATGGGGCTGTGTCCCACAGGGATATGTTGTGAACTGCTGCTAGGTCCAACCATACCAACAGGCTTTTAGCTGTTCCCATACCCATGCTAACCCAGCTCTGCTTTTCCTTCAGTACTCTGCTTTTTTGCCCATCCTAAATGGACTTCAGGTGCAAATGACTATGAGATTGCTTTCTAATTACGGCTACGTTTAGCACCTGCATGGCAGGAGCTGGGTGTGGGCTGTGGGGACCTGATGAAGCATCACTTAAACGGGCAGTTTCTATCCTGCTCTTTCCCTCTCCATCAATCATGGCTTTTCCCACTCCTATTCCTGGCATTCCTCCCTTTGTCCATCCTTGCACAGACTCATGGATGTAAGGTGCAGGATCACGTGGGCATCTTCCAGCAAGGAGAAAATCCATCCCGAGGGCCCAGATCTCTAGCGAATTCACCCCACCTGAACAGCACTGGCTTTGGGTCCCTCTCAGCCACGTGCATGGGTTTTATTTTTCCCTGTTTGCTCTCAGCACACAGCTCCAGGAAAGGCAGCAAAGCCTCATGCTCATGTATCTGCTGCTTGCTGTCATGTTTCATTAGTGCGTGAGCCGTCCTGCTCCTCCTCAGAGCTGTGTGCATAGCTGCAGTGGATGCGAATTACCCAGCCTGGGATGCTCCCATCCCAGCTCCTCCAAAGCACTGCCAACCGCTGCCCCTGCCTGAGTAACGATGCAAATTAATGTGCGCAACACATCCACATGTGCATCCAGAAGCCGGATGCGTGTCCAGAAGGCACTTCTTGGGCACAATGCATCCCCTCTGCAGAGCCCAGTGTTTTAGAAGGGCAGTGAGATGCTCACCCCCAGACCTACTGCAGGGCTCGGGCTGGTTTCTACCATTGAGAAGACAACCGGAGCAGGGAAATGAATCGT